ATCATCAACCACGCTCGATATATATACATTATAATAGCATGTGAGAGAAAACATAAATCTAGGTATCTTTTGTACATTATGTTATGTATTCGCAATATTTTACCATTATTAGTAAAAGATGTATTTTAAATAAATTCGGGTTTAGATAATTTAAATTTATAAAAATCTTATTGTTTAAAGGGTATTTTAAACGAGTTTAGAATATATACAAATAGTAAAATTTTTGATTAAGAATATACACATATAGGGATGGTAAGATTCTAAATGCAATTACAGGTAGTTTTGATTAAGAATATTTAAATTGGTCATGTCATGGATTTATTACTTGTTCAAAGTCGAAAGTTGAAGAATATTTATTTTTCTAAAATTTTGAGAGAATGAATGTTGTATGCTTGACAACCAAGAAAGCAATCAAAGTGAAGAAAAGAAATCCCCTGTTTATGGTAACCTAATTCCAAGTTTTTATGATGCTTCACGGCACATCGGAGTGCAATGCTCCTAACATCACAGCCATTGGATGATATTCCTTCAACAAAGTCAACCTGCATAGCGATACAATACCGCACGAAACTCCTATAGGCAAGTACAAATTAAATTACATTTATTATGCGAAAATAAATACTTATTTCCACTAAAAAAAATTATAAAACCCACACATAAAAAGTTTAATTAAATCGAACTAGTTAGAGAACCAAACTAAATCCAAATGTTCAATTTTTAAAAATTCTTCAGTTTTATTTTAATTTTTAAATGAAATTAGTTTGATTTTTAAGTTTTTCAGTTAATATAATAAAATCAAACTACACTGCTTCGATTTTTTATTTAAATCCATTTTAAGAATCAATTCAAACTAATTACTTAACATGATAGTTCTCCTTTTACCCACTAAAATAGTGAAAACTCGAGAGGACTCGAATCGAAATTTTTTATTATCCACCTAAATGAAAAGACTAATCACACACACACACACGATTGATTCTATTAGCTTATTCTGGATTTCATATAATATATTAAAGTAGAAAACGATATATTTACATTATATATATTAAATAATTTATAAAAATAATTATATTATTAAAAGTCATTTTACAATTCCAAAGTTACTACTAAAATTTCACTAAACAATTCATCATTTATGAGCTAATCGTTGTTAGGCCGTGTTTGACAACAGTTTGTTAAGTAACTTTTTGACTAGTTACTTAAAAAGTTAAAAAATTGTTCGATAATATAGCGTTTGAACCAATTTTTTTGAGGCTATAGTAGTTTTTTTAAGAAAAGTTAACTCTTATAACGTTTAGCTTAAACGTGTCATGAAAAATTATTCAAACAACTAACAACTAAATATTATTAAACAACTAACAGCTACCAAAATTTGCCGAACAGACCTTCAAACACCAATTATCTATTAGTAGTAACCACTGCCAACTATTAATTAGCTATCACAAACAACTAACCTTAGCAATTAAGCTAAAACTTCGTTGGCAGAAACTCTTTTAGTTTAATCGTGCAAGAAAAAGGAACAAAATTCTTGGGTATATAATTCCTTTTTCTGTAACAGAGGTATTGAAAGTGTATATGCATTTATTTTATTTTTATATTTATTGTTCATATTTTAATTCGTGTTTATCTTATTGAAGTTTCTAAAAATAGTATTATAGTATATATATGTATAATATAATTCTAAGTTCATAATAGCTCTAGGTTTGAATCTCTCTTATCCGGTATAAAAAAAATTAGTTCAAAAATGCTAAATTTTATCTCTTAATTTTACTAGTTATTTACTTTTACTATAGATGTTATTTCTTCTAATAGTAGTAATTCATGCATGTTTATTAAGTCTTAAACATAATGAATATATCTATTTATCTATGTATCTATGAATAGGAGAATATTGGGAGTGTCAAAATTTTTCCTACTAAGTTTATGTATTTATAAAATATTATTAAAGATTTTAATTTTTTTTGGTTAAAAAATAAGAATAATTTCATTTTGATTAGTCATATTAATTTTCTATTTAGTCTAAATTTATTGGATAAAATAATAAATTATATTATATGCTATATAAGGTATATATTTCCATTGTCCCGTTTTGTTTTGGTTTGACAAAACAAGCATATTAAGAATTTAGTCAATAAAAATTATTTTGTCATTTTTTACCCTTAACTCATTAAGATATTAATAAAAGTTTATATGTATTAAAGATTTTTTAATTTTTTTTTGGTTAAAAAGATAAGCGTCATAATTTTCATTCCCTTGATTTCATGTCACTATTAATCTTCTATATTGAAGTCTCAGCAATTTATTGGTAGTAAAATAACTCAATAGCGTATCACTTATGATGCTATTACTCAACGGGTACTATATTTTCCATTCTGTCCGCGTGGTTTGTGTTTGGTTGACAAACATAGCCTATAAGAATTTTAGTCAATAAAACATTATTTTGTCATTTACCTTTACCCCTTAAACTCATTAAGAATCCTAAATAAAAGGTTTTTCGTTTAATAATAAATTATTTTGTCATTTTTTACCCTTAACTCATTAAGATATTAATAAAAGTTTTTCGTTTAATAAACAATCATAAAAGTTATTATGGAAAAAATAATTGTTTACACATTTAAATTTTAGAAACCTTGTAAATATTTTAGGACATCCAAAAAAGAAATAATAAATAAACAAAATGGGATGGAGAGAGTATCAAATATGGTAAGAATATAATATCTTTTAAGGGTTTTAGGATTTTGATTTTATTAGTTGAAAAATTAAACATAAGTTAATTTTTGATTGGTTATATTAATTTTTATTTGAATTTAAATTATATTAGATAAATTGATAAATTATATTATACACTAAATGAGGTATATATTAAATATTGTAAGAACATAATATCTTTAAAAATTTTAATTTTATTGGTTAAAAAAATAAAAATATTTTTATTTTTATCGGTTATGTTATAGCATCTTGCTGTCATTAGTTTTTATCTGTAAGAGCATAATATCTTACTATCATGGGTTGAGGACTGCAATACTATGATCCTGCAAGAGGGAACTGCAATGTTATATCATATTTATTCTATAACTCATTATATAATATAATTTATTATTTAATAAAATAGAAAATATAACTCATTATATTTATATATAATTATGATATAACACGATATATTAGTAAACCATATAACATGTTAAAAGATTTTTTTTAAATAATCATGAATTAATTATATGTTCATAAATTTAGCAAAAAGTAAAAAAAAAAAAAAAAAAAAAAAAAAAAAAAAAAAAAAAACGAAACATACCAAAATTATAAATAATTTTCTAAAATAATTTTTTTCGAAGAAAATAAAGAATATCTTATCAGAGCCAGGTTTCGATCCTGGGACCTGTGGGTTATGGGCCCACCACGCTTCCGCTGCGCCACTCTGATATCTATTTTAAACAATTGTTAATACATTAATAATTAAAAAATATTTATCTATAATATAAATACAAAAACATAATATGTAAAAATTAATTAAATCATCGTTTTAAGAAAATTTATTTATTATTTTTTAAAATATATTTTTTCTTTTTTGTAATATTCTTAGATTTTTAACAATATAAATTGTTTATAATATTATAATTTATACAATTATAATAAAAAATTCAACCTATATATATATATATATAAACTAAATTATAATTTCATTCGAAACATGTAAAAAATCAATGAATTAAAATAACATGAACAACACAAGCTTCCAAAAAAACTTGATAGTACTTAAAATATAAAGAATTTAGTATTACTAATATAAATTCAAGGCCTTGTACTTTTTTTTTTAATTATAATCGTATAACGTGGATAAACTAAATTATATTTCATTGAAACATGTAAAAATCAATGAATTAAAATAACATGCAACAACACAAGCTTCCAAAAAACTGATGTACTTTAAAATATAAAGAATTAGTATTACTAATATAAATTCAAGGCCTTGTACTTTTTTTAATTATTATTTATAAACGTGACTAATTCTTTTGGAGTCTCAATGTCATTTGACCTAAGATTAAAAATGTATATTTTTATATTATACTTTTAAATTCATATATCTTTATAGTCTAATATTAATATGTAAAGTTACAAAACATGAAGGAAAAACCTTTGAATCGTTCATTTTTTTTAATAATCTAACATTTATTGTCAAAAGTATTCTAAAACTAATTTACACACATTGAGATTAAATTTAATTTTCGGGCAAATAAATACTATGGGTTTAATAATAATAGAATTATTTTCTACTGCATCTTTAAGGATTTTTTTCTTTAAGATTTGCATACAATGAATTTCCTAAAATTTAAAAACTAAGTTAGAATTAATGTTATTGAAAAAAAACCAACAATAAAAAAATACTAGGGTTTGTAAAAAGTAAAGAGCAAATCTCAAGTCATGTTCAGTTATTAGTTTGTTACTGTTGTTGGGAGTAGTTGTCATTGTTGTTCTTGTCTTAGCCATTAAAGGGTGAAAAACAGGTGAGAACTGTTTGACCTAATGAATTTGTTTTTATTTTCAAAGAAGAAATTGTTTTTAATTTTTGATTTTGATAAAAAACAACTCAAGAAACCAAAAATCCTCCATTTCCAAACACAAGAAAGCATAATTAGATAACAAAAAGAAAAAAAAAAAGAAATAACAATGAAAAAAACTCTTACCCAACAACAGCTTTGAAACACAGATAGAGAGAGACGTAAACCGAAGTCTTTTCCATCTCCCCGAAAACCCTCCAAAACTACAGACGTTCCCTCTTCTTCATTATCCATTCCTTTTTCTCTCTCTCTCCATAGATCCTCTACTAATTTTCACTTTAAATTCCCAATCTTTCTTGTACCATATCATTTGATTTTATTTTTTCATATAAAAGTTTGTTTTTCTTTTCTTATAAATCCAATTCAATTTGTAATTTTTTTTAAAAGAAATTTGTAATCTTTTGTCATAAAGGAAAATCTTGATTTTTTAAAAAATTTTTTTATATGGTTTTGTTTTTGGAAAAGCCTAAAGCTTAGCTGAGTTTTTGTTTAGATTTTTTATTAGAAACTAATTTCAATTTCAACTGTTTTTCTTTTTGCAAAACCCATGAAATTGATACAAGGGGTTTCGAGATTATAGTCCAGTGGTTTTGTTTTAATTGAATTAGGATTTTGTTTTGTGTTCTATTTTTATTTTTTTTAAGTAATTTATAAAAAACTGTTGAAGCAACATCGACAGGAATGGACAATCTTGTAACCTAAAATTTTTGCAACCAAGTCTCAGGCTGTTGCTTTTTCAATTAGGGTATTTTTGTTGGGGTTTAATTTTTTAGAGGAAACAGCCTGGTGTTATGCTTAAAGGAGAAATTGGAGAACCACAGATTATAGCGATTTGGGTTTTTGTAGCCTTTGTCTTTTGGGTTCTTGGGACTATTATGAGGAAGAGTAGTGATGGGCAGCAGCTGAAGAATACGCAAGGGCGAGCTAACAATGGGTTTTTACCAAGCTCGTTTCGGACGATCTCAAGCTACTTGAGGATTGTTTCGTCTGGGGCATCCACGGTGGCTAGGTCTGCTGCCTCTGTTGCTCAATCTATTGTGGATAGAGATGATGATGGCAACAATGATAAGGTAAAGTAGCGAAATTTTATGTTTGGAATTTCATTTTTCTTCGGAAGAGACTAAAAATTTCTATTTTGGGATGTATAAATTGGTGTCTTGGATAGTTCACATGTGTATTTCAGTTTATTTCTGGTATGCATATATGTGTCTGAGTGAGTGAGTGTTAATGTTGATTTAGTTGAAAAGTGTAGAGCCTTATGGCTGGTTGTCTATTTTTCTTTCTTCTTTTTTTTTTTTTAAATTTTTTTTAAAATTTTTTGGTGCTTATATGATATAATGTAAATTTTAGGCTGCTACCCTAAATTTTGTTGTATAAACTGTGGGATTAGCAATTAAGCTTGAATAGAAGTCTGAGGTTTTTTCAAAGTTTCGAATGTCTATTTCAGCATTTCTGGTTTTTCTATGGTAAACGGGTGTTTTAGCTGGAAATTGTTTCATCCTTGTTAATTAGGGGAAAATTCTATCGAGCGGTTTTGTTTTGAGTGTGAATGCCAATTTATCAGGAATTTTCTTGTTTCTTTTTCTAAAACTTTCTATCCATTCTATGATGTTGGTTTTGCGTGTTTTCCACATATGAATAATTTTACTTAGAGATTATAATACATGAGGGGCTTAGATGTCAATTGTGATACGGATCTGTTTATTGGGGTTGACAATATTTCAGTTTAAGATTTTGTTTATATTGATCATTAGTGTATCATTGTTCACTTTTATTTTAGTGTGTAAAAGGCATGATTGGTTTCTTTGGTTCATCTGATTTGGTTCCAATCAACTTTACAAAAATTAAAACTGTAATTTTATGTCTTACAAACTGGAATTTTTGTAGGCATCCATCCTATTGTAAGATGTTTCTTGCTATTACCAGGAACAGTCATTTTGCTTGAGATTATTAAAGAAATGAAGAAAAGTTGGTTTAGCTTCAAGTCTGAAGTAGAGAGTCATTTCGGTGCAAATGCTAAGCAAAATATGACAATTATAGTTTTGCCTTATTTTCATATGTTGATAATTGGTTGAAGATACTCAAGAGGGTTTTGTGTGTTGTATATGTGTTGACAATTAATTTATCTTGCATCTGCATCTCTGTGTCTTTATTGTTTCCTTTTTCCCCTTTTTTTCTTCATAGGTGGCTTCGATCACATTTATACTTCTATAGGAGTTTTTGGGTTGACAAAAACAGGCATTAGTTATAGTAAGGAGTGACAAATAAAGAGGGTTATGGTGTTTATGGTTTCTGGAAACATCTGATAATGAAACATAATCTTATATGTTCTTTGTTTTTAAGTCTAATTCGTGGTTGAGAAATTATTTGCGGTTTGTGGAGTCTGTGACTAATTTGAAGCCTCCTTCACAACAAAAACTTCATAGAATTACTGCTGGCAATGAGAGTTATGGGTTTTGATTTGTCTTCATTTCTCAGTCTCGCTGTCTAGTTCTGATTCTCTAATCTTTAGGAGGTTATTGAGCGATAAGGGTAATGTAGTCTATGCATAATAAAGTGAATTTAATTGCTATGGCCCTAGCTATAATGCCCTCCCTATTTCCTTTTAAAATAAACTCCTAAATAAGGTTTGGAGGATGAATCCTGATTACATTGCACCTTTTATTCTCTGCTAGATCCCTTCCATGCTTGCAAAAAGTGGAGTCTTCCACTTTCTCCAGTTGATGATTAACTGATACATGATTGATTTATATTCTGTCTGGAGTTTACTTTATTAACATCTGTGAGTGCAAATGGTTCTTAATCATGCTCCATTTCTTCTTTTTGCAGGTCCAATGGGCTGGGTTTGACGAGTTAGAAGATGAGGATGGTGTAATTCGGAGGGTTCTCCTATTGGGTTATCCGTCTGGTTTCCAGGTTTGGGATGTCGAGGAAGCAGATAATGTTCGTGACCTTGTTTCTAGACATGATGGCCCTGTTTCCTTCATGCAAATGCTGCCAAAACCAATAACATCAATGCAATCAGTCGACAAATTTGCAGACAGCCGACCTATTCTGGTAGTTTTTACTGATGGGACCCTTTCTGGAGGTACTAGTGTTCAAGATGGATTAGCTACTCCTTACAATGGGAACATACCTGAACACCATGATTTTGGTAATGGTAGTTTTGTGCCAACTGTTGTTCGGTTTTATTCCCTGAAGTCTCAATCCTATGTACACATGCTGAAGTTCAGATCAGTTGTTTATTCTGTGAGGTGCAGCTCTCGAATTGTAGCTATTTCTCAAGCAGCTCAGGTTGTTGGCTGATTCTAATTTTTTTTCTGATATGTTATAATTTTGTGTTATAATGTGCAATAATTTGGTTTGCTGCTGCAGATACACTGTTTTGATGCCACAACATTGGAGAGGGAATATACTATTCTTACAAATCCTATAGGCATGGGTCATCCCGGTTCTGGAGGCATAGGTTATGGACCTCTTGCAGTTGGTCCCAGGTGGCTAGCTTATAGTGGAAGTCCGGTTGTAGCCTCCAGTACTGGACGTGTTAGCCCGCAACATCTAACATCTTCTGCAAGTTTTTCTGGTTTCAATTCAAATGGGAGTTTGGTTGCGCATTATGCAAAAGAATCAAGCAAGCAACTTGCTGCTGGAATTGTGACTCTAGGGGACATGGGATATAAGAAGTTGTCCAGGTATTGCTCAGAGCTTCTACCTGATAACCACGGTTCCCTTCAATTTGGGGGTCCTGGCTGGAAAGGCAATGGTACTACTAATGGCCATTTGCCAGATGCAGATAACGTGGGAATGGTACATGGCTTCTCCTTTTGTTTATTTATGTATTTCTTTTTCTGTCTTCTAACTTTGTTTTAGGGAAGGCCAGAAGGCAAAGTTTCTTTTTTACTGATGTTGCTAAAGGCCATCAATTTTAGTTAGCTTTGATGGACTTATATCAGTTGATGAGTGGGTGTAGACGATTGTGGTTATCTAATGAAAAATTATTATATCTAGCCTCACCATTATAATCTGGTGAAAATTTATTTTGTTCAACTCTTTACATGGATGATAATCAGTAGCTGCAAGGTGTGAATTTTTGCCTTGGGTTTTAGGAAGTAATTATGCATAAATCATGCTGTCATCCACTGTGTCAGTTCTGTGTTCTTCCTTTCTTAAATGGTCCTTTTTTTTCCTTTTGTGCTTACTTTTTGTATTTTTTTTTCTTGATCAGGTTGTTGTCAGGGATATTGTTGGTAAACTTGTTATTGCCCAATTTAGAGCGCACAAGAGTCCTATTTCAGCATTGTGCTTTGATCCTAGTGGGACCCTTCTAGTTACTGCCTCAGTTCATGGTCATAACATAAATGTTTTCAGAATAATGCCTGGACTCCAGGGAAGTTCTTCAGCAGGTGATGCTGGTGCATCCTATGTACATCTTTACAGGCTGCAGCGTGGATTTACCAATGCAGTAAGAGCAGCATTGTTTTTGAATTTTTTGTTCTGCAGGAGTACATACCATCATTAGTGTTTAATGCCATTTTTTTGTGCTTTCTGGACTTATATTTTCAGGTTATACAGGACATCAGTTTCAGTGATGACAGCAATTGGATTATGATAAGTTCCTCTCGGGGGACAAGCCATTTATTTGCTATTAATCCATTTGGAGGATCAGTGAACTTTCAGTCTTCAGATGCTAGTTACACCAGTAGAAATAGTGGATTAGGTGTAATGAGCAAGTCAGCTGTTTGTTGGCCTCCTAGTTTAGGTCTACAAATGCATAATCAACAGAACTTTTGTGCTTCTGGTCCTCCAGTTACACTGTCTGTTGTCGGCAGAATAAGGAATGGGCACAATGGTTGGAGAGGTACGGTTAGTGCTGCAGCGTCTGCAGCAGGCAGACTGGGTTCCCTTTCAGGAGCTATTGCTTCGTCTTTTCACAGCTGCAAAGGCAACAATGAATTATATGTGGATGGCACCACTTTGAAGACAAAGTACCACCTTCTTGTTTTCTCACCCTCCGGTTCAATGATACAGTATGTATTACGAATATCAGCTGGCGTAGATTTGACAACTGCTGTGCCTGGATTAGGTATAGGCACTGCTTATGAACCAGTTCCAGAAAATGATGGAAGGTTAGTAGTGGAGGCAATTCAGAAGTGGAATATTTGTCAGAAACAAAACCGAAGAGACCGAGAGGATAATGTTGACATATATGGAGAAAATGGTAATTTAGATAACAATAAGAGATATACTGAAGGCAAAAAAAAGGGAAATAGTGTTCATCCTGAAGGTACAGGTAATGCTACAAAAGCGAAAATCAGTCTTGAGGAAAAGCATCACTTGTACATTTCTGAAGCTGAGCTACAAATGCATCAAGCTCATATCCCATTATGGGCAAAGCCTGAGGTATTTTTGTCTTATGCAGGATATCAAAGTGCTAATAAAAAATCATGCTTGTTTACTTGTTTGCGTGACTTACTTTTTTTGTTATTGTCAATTGCCTTCCAGATATATTTTCAATTGATGGTGACAGAGGGGATAAAAATGGATGAAGAAAATACAGTGCTAGGGGAAATTGAGGTAGAAAGGATTCCAGCTCGTACGATTGAAGCAAGGTCAAAGGATTTAGTTCCAGTTTTTGACTATCTTCGACATGCAAGGTGTGCTGAAGTTTTCTGAGTACATTTTGCCTTTCTGATTACTTGAATTTAAGTCTTAACTGATGTCTTACTGAAATATTTAAAATGTTGCAATTCACATTTTGGAAGACATGCTCATAACAATAACAAAATAACCTTAGATGCCAAATTTATATTTCTATTGTCCGTTTTGTGGTCGAACAAATCCAATGCCTTGAAAGAATCTTAAATTGGTCTTTGATAAAATTGAAAATTATGTATCGAGAATTTAAGAGCTAAACTTTTAGTTCTGAATAATGTAAATGCTGAAATTTCTATACTGCTGAGTTGTTTTGAAGTCCACAAATTTAGCATATTCGGTTCAAATTTTAACTCAACTGGAGCTTTAGTATATGAGCTTATTGAACAAAAAAAAAAAAAAAAAAGAATGCCTTGAAAATGAATCTTTAAATTGGTCTTTGATTAAATTGAAAATTATGTATCGAGAAAGGTTTAAGAGTTCTAAACCTTTTAGATCTCTGAATAATGTTAAATTGCTGTAAATTTCTTACTGCTGGGATGGTTGTTTTGAAAGTCCACAAAATTTAGCAATAGTTCCGGTTCAGAATTTTAACTCAAACTGGAGCTTTAGTATATGAGCTTTATTGAACAATAAAAAAAAAAAAAAAAAGCATTTGAAAAAAAAAAAAAAAAAAAAAAGCATTGAAATTTTAATTTGAACTGTTGAATGACATTATCAAGTACCACTTTACCAAACTAACAGAAAAGGCTAAGTGCAGATTTTTTTTTTTTTTTTTTAAATTTAAGTGCTAAATATAGGTTATCAAATATCATCTTGGTTTACCGGTATTTGGGGTAATTGTTTTGATTACGAGGATTTTTTAGATTTAAGAATTCTGAGCGATGTGAGCAAATATGAAAATTATGTTGATAATCCTGAATTTATCTGTATGTACACAGGGTTCCTGCCTTAGATGGTAATATCAATGGGCATCTACAGCATCAAAGGTCTGTGTTGACTGAAAATGGCAAGCATTCACGTAGGAGTAGCTCTGGCTCTCTTGATTCCATGACCGACTCTGGTGCTGTAACTGCTGAACTTCAGAATGTGGTTGAAGAAACTGGGTGGTATGGTCATAGGAAGCCGGTAGAAGCTATGGGCTTTGTAAATAGTAGGGACAGCCCCAAAACAAACACATGGCTTGAGAATGTAAATAACACAGAGAGCTTAAGAACAGGAGCTCAACTCAAGTTTGTAAATAGTAACAATGGAGGCCCAAAAGCCGAGAATCATTTTGAAGATGAGGGCGATGAGTTTGATTAGAGGTAATTTTTAGTTTATTACTAAGGTGCCTGGAACTGAATAGCTCGGGCAGGGTATGTGTGAATTTGCAAGGTCGGACACTAAAATGATCGATAATTTCTTTCATTCAGGTGTGCAGTTATTCTTTTATTCTGGTGGAGGGTTCATTAACCATGTTAATATTTGTGGATGGAATTGTAGACTGAATGAGAGGCACAGAGGCTCAACTGCGAAGCGGAAATGTGGATACTAAGTAAGTATGCTGGGTTCCGGTCTTCTGTTGACGATGTAAATAATAGTCGTATAATGGCAAATAATCAGTTGTAATATGTAAATATATACACCATATAGCATTAACTTAAATAACTCTTTGTCACCTTTTTCTTATTCTATTTATTCTAAATATGATATGTTACAATTCTTGGCAAGTTAAAACAATTTCCCAATATGATATGATGGAAGGATGGATTGGTTATTCATGTTTCAGGGTCTGCTGATCTTTCAGTTCTCAGCTTCAGTCATAATCTATATCTGTCGTGTATATAAATGTAGGTGAGCTGTAAACAAGCCAAGCTGAGTTCTATTGAGCGTGATTAATAAGGTCGACAAGCAAGCTCGTTAGGTTTTATGTTGGTAGATTTTATTTAATGATTCAAATGATAATTAGTATTTGTAGAATATGTTAATTTAGGTAGACAGCAACTTGAAGTACAATATATTCTTTATGCCTAATTATTGAAGAAAATAATTTTAAGCAATGTCTATGAAGCCTATCATCAGCATTTTCAGAGGATAATACACCAAAATTGACAAGGTTGCATCCATTTTTAATATAAAATTCAATAAAATTGAAACATAAATTTTTTCATATGCTAAAAATTTTTATATCAAATAAGTTTTAGAAGTGTGAATTCTAACAATTTTGAGTAAGAATACATGAAAATCCAAATTTAAATACCCTAGCTCTTCACACCCTTTAAAAAGGGTACACAGATACTAATCAGATTAGATTGATTGAATAATGCCTGCCCTACAAGTATAATGCTTTTATTTCTGGGGACAAAAATATAGTAAAAGTCTAAAAGACAAAATCTAGTCCTTCAATTTCTGTCAACAAGTCATTACTGTTACGCATGACAAATACTTTTCTCACTGCAAATTTTACCTTCCTGTCTTTGCACTCAAAAGACCAAAAGTCCTGAACCAACCCTATTGAGAATGACAAGAAGAAGAAGAAGAGTCATTTTCCATTTAGAAGCCCTGTACAATCAGTCTCCAAAAATCCTTGTATGCCTCATATAAATATTAAACTTCATGTGTAGGCAAAGCTAAGTAACACCAAACTACGTATACTTCTCCAAATTTCAAATATGTAAAATATTTTTTAATTTTATAGAACTCTCTTCTCAACTTCCCTCCTTCTTTACCAAGCCAAAATCCCTAAAAGAAACAACCATAAAAACAAAACATAACTACACCTTTCTCTCTTCTTAGTCCTGTGTCACTTTCTCTTTAACAACCCTGTTTTGTTCCTTTTTATATTTCTCTCTAATAAATTAAACACCATGAGTTGATTTTTTCTTCTTGAATATATATATATATATATATATATATACAAAACGTCTGAATCTAGCCCAATTACTAAGCAAGTTTAGGTAACTGATAGCTACCTTAAACTCCAATCATATCCTTCCTTTTACAGCATATCTCCATATGGGTTCTTGCAATTCTACTCACCTTCTTCTTTGAGCGATTCCCTAATAAAATAATCAAAAACCAAGAACCAAACAGTACCCACCAAGAAAATAAACAAGAACAACTCAATAATTTCTCTATAGCTAGGGAAGCTATAGCTAGCAGCAAGTAGTTCTTGGTTTCTTGTTTTAGCTCTGGTTGGTTCTTGGTTTCTTTCTGCATAAAAATAAAAATGCAACTTCATATATCGCCTAGCTTGAGGCATGTCACAGTTTTGCCTGGTAAAGGTGTTAGAGAATTTATCAAAGTGAAAGTTGGAGGTAAAAGAGTTTCGTATCGGATGCTTTTCTATTCTCTTCTTTTCTTCACGTTCCTTCTCCGGTTTGTTTTTGTCTTGTCTACTGTTGACACCATTGATGGTGAAAGCAAGTGCTCTTCTCTTGGTACGTATAATATATTCTTACATTTCTTCTTTTTTGTTTTGTTTTAGTTCTCTTTAATTTCTCCACATTTTACCAGTGTTTTTAATTAATGAATTAATAATAGAATTCAAATATAATAATCAAGAAGACGCCGCAAAAATTATTAAAATTTATGAAATTTCTGTATAAGGTGAAATTAAACTCGACTGTTTAAGTTTTTAAATTGATAAATATTTGTTGTCTTAATTATTTATTATTAGTACATTAATTATGATTAAGGATTACCAAAATTAATGTGTTGTTGCTTAGATTTTTTGTTTCAGGATTATTTGTATTTTAATCTTCTAGTTTCAGAGTTCAAATAGCAAATATTAGTGTTTAAGTGAACGAAAACAAAGCTGTAAACATACTAAGTAAGTGCATAATAAGGTTAATCACAAGAGTTAAAACATCTCATTAAGTTTAATTAATTAAGTAATTAATTATTATTTCCGTTCTACCTCGAAAAGACTGTTTGCCTCCTTAGCATATTATATACAGTTAGATGATTATTCAATGGCTGTTTGACACCTTATTTCTAATAATTAACTAAATTGAAACTTAACTCTATTACATAATACATGTCACATTTGAAATTTCACGTCATTTATGAAAATTATTAAATTTGTCTAAATTGCAATAAATTATTGAATAAATTCATTATATTACCTTTAATTTAATATACTAATTTTCTAAAAAAACCATTAAATTAAAATAATAATTATTGATCATTACAAAGAGTAAACATGGAAAATAATATTTATTACTTTTTAAAAACATGAATGTGATAAATATTTTATAATAAACTATTTTTTCAAATGTAACAAGTATTATAGAATAAAGGTAGAACATTCAACTAGTTTAACCAAATTGAATTATTGCAAATCGGATAAATTTACTTTTTAGTTTCCTATGAGTTCGGAAAAAATTTAAGAACCAATTTGATTTTTTTTTAAAAAAAAAAAATCAAACTAAATTGAATTAATCGAATCGAATTGGTTGAATGGAAATTACCTATAATTAACCGGTCCTAATGATTAGATTGCTTAGTTAGTTTGCAATAGTACAAGTTGGACTGACATATCTCACCCACCTACAGATTTGTTGTGCAGACGTTTGGTACAAAAAAAAAAAAAAAAAAAAAAAGACATATCTCACCCACCTACAGATTTGTTGTGCAGACGTTTAAAAAAAAAAAAAAAAAAAAAAACTAATTAACATGTGAAAAATTAAGAAATTAACGGTTAATTAAACCATTTCATTCGCTTGTGGTCGGTGCATGACCATTCTTGGGAGCCTCAGCCTCCCAACTAACGTTGATAAAACCATTACAACTGCAATTTTTATTTATTTATTTATATTTTACCCAATAATGAAATTATATATAAATTTAAGTTATTAATTAATTAATGTTTTGTTGTTTATTTGATTATTAAAGAAATTGATTTATCTTTTAATTTAATGATATAGGGTGCTTGGGTAAAAGACTAGGGCCAAGGATATTAGGAAGAAGGATTGACTCTGTAATTATCTCTAAACCTCTGAATGTTTAATTAATTAAGATATTTATTATTATTATTATTCTAATGAATTTTGCTTTACGGTTAATTAATTTGATTAATTAATAGTTTATGGTGTGCAATTAAAGGTCCCTGATGTAATGTATCAAGTATTACAAGAACCCCTTGGCCAAGATGATTTAAAAGGAAGAAATGATATTCCTCAAACATTGGAGGAATTTATGGAAGAAGTGAAAGAAACCAAACTAGATGCAAAATCATTTGCTCTCAAGCTCAGGGAAATGGTATCAATTTTTTTTTTCTTCTGTTGCTTTTTTTTTTTTTTTTTTAATTTTTTTTTTTTAATTTTTTTTTTTTTTTTTTAATCAAATTTTATATAATTCGGTTTCTTTATTCTATCAAATATCAGATACCCACTTTAGAAGTAAAGGTCTATAACTAGAACAAATGAATTATGATAGAGTAATATCAAACTTAATGGTATTAGAAAATTTGGTCAATCGGAAAAGAGAGTTTGGTCAATCGGAAGTATATTTTTCAGGTGACATTACTTGAACAAAGGACTAGAACAGCCAAAATTCAAGAATATTTATATAGGCATGTAGCATCAAGTAGCATACCAAAACAGCTACACTGCCTTGCTCTAAGGCTAGCAAATGAGCACTCCACCAATGCAGCTGCCCGGCTCCAGCTTCCGACGCCGGAGCTCGTTCCAGCCCTCGTCGATAACTCCTATTTCCACTTTGTCCTTGCCTCGGATAATGTGCTTGCTGCCTCCGTTGTTGCCAAATCACTTGTTAAAAATGCATTACGGCCCCAAAAATTTGTACTACACATAGTAACGGATAGAAAAACTTACTCGCCTATGCAAGCTTGGTTCTCACTACACCCTTTATCACCTGCAATAATTGAAGTGAAGGCATTGCATCATTTTGACTGGTTTACTAAAGGTAAAGTCCCTGTTTTAGAAGCAATGGAGAAAGATCAGAGGGTGAGATCACAATTTAGAGGAGGCTCATCTGCAATTGTGGCAAATAATACTGAAAAACCTCATGTTATTGCTGCCAAGCTACAAGCACTTAGCCCCAAGTACAATTCAGTGATGAACCACATTCGAATCCACCTTCCTGAGGTGAGATTAATCAAATGAATAAATCTGTAATTACTTGCATTTGGACTTGACAGGTAACTTAAAGTTTTCGTTTCTGGGTGTTGTTTTTTTATAATTTGCAGTTGTTTCCAAGTTTAAACAAGGTGGTATTTCTAGATGATGACATAGTGGTGCAGACTGATCTTTCGCCTCTTTGGGACATTGACATGAATGGAAAGGTTAATGGAGCAGTAGAAACTTGCAGAGGAGAAGATAAGTTTGTTATGTCAAAGAAATTTAAGAGTTATTTGAACTTCTCTCATCCTTTAATAGCTGAGAGTTTCAATCCCAATGAGTGTGCATGGGCATATGGTATGAACATTTTTGATTTAGAGGCTTGGAGGAAGACCAATATAAGCCTCACATACCACTCTTGGCTTGAACAGGTAATCGCTAATCGCCATTTCATGAATGCAATTTGAGAATAATTACTGATGATCTTAATTTTGTTTTTGATTTTTTGGTTGCAGAACTTGAAATCAGACCTCAGCTTGTGGCAGCTAGGAACATTACCACCAGGGCTAATTGCATTCCATGGTCATGTACATGTTATTGATCCATTCTGGCATATGCTAGGCCTGGGATACCAAGAAAATACAAGTTTGGCAGATGCAGAAAGTGCTGGTGTCATTCATTTTAATGGCAGAGCAAAGCCTTGGCTAGATATTGCATTCCCCCAACTAAGGCCATTGTGGACTAAGTACATCAATTTCTCTGATAAGTTCATTAACAGTTGTCATATTAGGGCATCTTAACATGAATTTTGAGATGAAAAATGTTGGAGCCTCAGGCTATTAATGATAAAAAAAGAAAGAAATCTTTATATGTTTGTATATGAGGTGAAAGTAAAGGAAAAAAAGAAAAAGAAAGAGAGGAGAAGAGAGTTCTTCATAATTCAAAGGCTTTCTTTACATAATGTATAAATATAACACAGCCTCAAGCATTTTTTTGTTTTGGGTTCTTTTTTATTCTTTTGGAACTCTTCTTCTATGGTTGAAAGACCAGCCTTCTTTACACACTGTGTTTTCTTTCTTTCTAAATGATGATAAGAATGAGTTTTTCCAACATTAGCTGTATTCATATGCATTTTTCAGCATTAACTGGTATAGAGCAACTACATTATTCAACTAGGCAATTAATCAAAAGACAAGATTCTCAAAACACTCTTAATTCATATACAAAGACAAACAAACATGTACATGAATCAAGATTAATATCCCAATTTACTTTTTTCCAGTTACATTTGAAACCAAATCTTTCAAAAACTTAGCAGATTTTGTAATAGGAGAATTGATAGCCATCAAGTTATACAACACATTTTCAACTTCACCAATTGAAGGCCTTGTCTTGAACCTTGAAACTACTTTCATTTCTCCATTTTCTTCTTCAACAAGAACTATCCATCTTTCACCACTCACTACTCCATCTCTCACACACTTAAAAACCACTCCTTTCCTTTTGCTCAAAATTCCCCTAACCTCCAATCCCAAAAATGAATATATAACATCAAAAGACTCAACAAATCCACTCAACTCACCAAGATCATTCTCCTCTTCAAAACCCCATTTGGGGTTGAGTATGACTACTGGCTTTGGGTATAAATTATCAGTAATGGTTTCGATAGCTGCTAATTGTGAAGTCTCTGGTGCTAAAAACACTGCTATCTCAATAGAACCCAAAAGTCTACTATCACCATTTATAACTGAAGATATTTCAACATTTTCAACATTATTTGATGAATTTGATTGAAATATTTCAGTTGCAATGTTTTTCAATGTAGGATTTGGCCAAAGAATTAAAATCTTGACAATAGAACCTTTTCTTTTGATGGGTAAGTCCCTAAAAACATCAAGGGCAAGTTGGGATAGGGAATTTGGCGAGTCATCAATGACAGGGATTTCAACTTGGAATCTTGGCTGTTTCAGTTTCTTCAGTTTGCCAGCTAGTTTAGGGTTATTTAGGGGCTTCTGTAGGGTTTTTGAGAGACAGGTCTTGGCTTGTAGAATTGCTTCTTCTTTGGACGAAGGTGGAGCGATAGTGGAGGAAGATAAAGAAGAAAGCAAGATGGACACAGAAGAAACTTTGGGCCTGTTACGGTGATTATTTGAGGGGAAGAAGGTCAGATTTTTGTGTTGCACAAATGAAGTTGAAAGATTTGTATTTTTAAAAGAATGAATATGAAATTTGAGAAGATTGGAAGCCATGAAAATGGTTTTAACAGGATAAGAGGAGGATATAACTAAGAAGAAGATGGCAACAGAAGCTTTAACGCAGATAAGATATCAGTTGCAGAGTTACAGACAGCCCCATAATATTGACTTTTGGCTGGCCCACCCATTACTCTTTACTGCTTGTTTTTCACTCATCTTTCTTACCCATGGTCCCTCTAAATATAAAATTTAATAAATAAAAAAACCATTTGAGAATTTAATTAATTGCAATTCTAAGCAATGAAATGGTTTACTAATTAGAAGTCATTATAATTTAATTTTTAAGATAATTTTCATATATTCTAAACATAAAAACTTTAAAACAATTAAACAACACTCTCAAATTGATTTTTCTAATATTAAAACTTTATTTTTTCATAAAAATAACTTTAATTTTAATGCCAAATGAACTCTAAATCCAATTAACATCCCTAACTTGTCTGAATTATCCGATTGAAACATAGATTTACTAGATAAATTTATTAAAATATACATATCAGTACCATCAACAATTCATAGAAAATCCGTATTGCAACATACTACAAGTTACCCACCAAATCCAGTTAGAAGATTTCAGTAACAACTAGTACAGACAAGACAATGACAAAATGAATACATTTTTTTCTTGTTGGAGGTGCAAATGCAAGCAGATTTGCACAGTAGGTTGCTAACTTAAGCAACGGGTGGACGGAGCACATGATCTTGAGAAGTATCCACTGCAGCAGGTGGCATAAACTGCCACATAGCAACTCCTGGGTAACCGATGAAAGGCACTAACTTGTTTCCAGATGCTTGGCCTTGGGCAGCAAATGCAGCAGGGATTGCAGGAGGAGGAGGCAAGAAGCTAGTTTGTGAATTTGCAGCTTTCAGCTGTTGCTCCAATTTCTCCTTCTCTGCCTTCAGCCTCTGCTTCTCATCCCTAAGCTCATTCTTTTCGGCCTACAGGAGACAATGGTAATTTAATAAAACAGACAATAGTATTCCTAATCCTTTTTTTCAGGTCTTATAGGCGGCATGCTGTTAAGCGACTAACAAAGAAAATTTTTATTACCTAAATTCTAGCATTCCATTCTTGGCATAAAAACTAGAAAAAGAAAACAGATGAATACAAAACTTCACCTTCAACTCTTTGATCTTCTCTTGAAGACTTGAATTTGAGTCCTTCAGTGTTTGGGCTTCACCTCGTAACTGAGTCACCCTCCGGATGGCATCAACCAAAATAGCAGCCTTGTCTGTTTTAGGAGGTCTTCCAGGCTCTAAGATAGAGCCCAATTCCAAAAACCTAGCAGTTGCACCAAATACAGAATGTGGGTGCCTCATGGAGACAGAAAAATAAACAAAGAAGGAAGAATAATAATTACTTGTCATTTAGCCTATCCCTCCGCAACTTCTCCCTACATGCTTTGGAGCTAGAAGCACCACATGATTCAGATCTACCCCTGTACAAATATGAGAAAAAGACAGGTACTTGAAAACATAGCTCCACGAGCTAAAATATTACATTTTTATAACACTTCAATCCAAGAATAATAAATCAGAGAGAGAGAGAGAGAGAGAGAGAGAGGAAGGGGGTCGGGAAGTGTGTGGAGAGGAGAAGATAAAGGGATTGACAAAAGCTAGAGTTACACAGTAACTTCTCAACAGTCCAGGCAATTATTAATTGCAAGAAAACCTTGATGACACTAGTAGTGACACCTTTGACATAGACCAATTTTATCCCCGCTATACAGTTGATCAATATTATACAGTATCTCATAGCCAAATTGAATCAAGTATCAACATGCACAAACTCTTTGCCACATACATGTAAGTTGCATAATTCAGTTCCACATGTAGTGGCTTACTGTTTGTGACTTTAAAAGTAGTTGACCAAAACTGACAAGCATGTGATTAAATTGCTGACAATAAAAGAGAATTCCTGATTAAGTTGATGCAACGCTGACTTCTGAAGCCACTTAAGCATCTAATCGGTGACACCAGATTAGTGATGTCAACTCAAAATAAAGAGGAATCAAGAAGTGGGTCAGATTCTCAGTTCTAGTTGCCAATACTTTGCAAATAAAGAATACATAAAGGGAATAAAGTTGTGCAGCTTTAGAATGACTATCAATCACATTACCTCCCAATCTATTCTCACATCAAAAAACAAAAGGGAAAAGAAAACCTTTTCACACTACATACAGCACAGTAAAATGATATAATTGACATTAACAAACCTCTTCTTGGAGCTGGACTCCTTCTGAGCTTCAGAATTCCCAAAAGGTCCATCAATTTCCACACTAGGAAGATAGTTTCAAAAGTACAGATGTTAGAATGAAAGAATACCACATAAAGACGAGTAAGAAAAAATGGAGATATTATTAGATCCATATTAGATGAGTGCATACATAAAACTTCCATACAATGAACAGACTATGCATCACATGGAAAAAAGGACTCACAAATCAAATAACAAATAATAAGACAATTTAATGAAAGGATAACAACATGTGTTACAAGAAACGAGTGAGATTTCCAGAAAAACGATTTATCAAGCACAGAAAAAAAAAGTTTTGGAAATTATAATAAAAATATGCAAAAGTGCATATTTGCCTCTAAATTTTTTTTACAATGTAACTTCTAATGAATCTAAATTCACTTCACGATCTCCCCCTTTATATGACTAAAATAAACAAGCCTTAAAACTCCAATAACAAAGAACCAGAGTTGCCAGCGGAATTTGCAAACCAACAGATAACAGAAAAAAAAAAAATATAAAAAGACATATGCGCAGTTCATTCTATTTTCTATGCAGCCTTTTGAATCATACAGTCTGTTGTCATTATGCAATTCAGGCTGCATCATCCTACCCCTCAAAATGCAGGCAAAGAATTAATTATTTTTACTTACCAAACCATCTTCTATTTAGTATTCACCATAGAAGAGAAACCTATAGATGAAATTGCTGAATGCACAAAAACCAAATCCCACCAGTGCCTAAACTAATTTCCACCTCAAAAACAAAAGTTACCCCATAAACACATAAAACCTAAACCAGATTATGCAATAGCAAAGAAATAAAAAGAAAAACATCTCGATAATCACTTGCCTACAACTGCTAATAAAAATTGCAAAATTTAATTGAACAATATAAGCCAAATCCAACCGTTTTCTCTAATAATTAAGCTCATTTCAGAAATTTGATATCTAAAATACCTAAAGACAGCAAAATTACCGGAAAAAAAAACAAACAAACAACTTTCTCTAATTATTCTCTACAATTACAAGCGTCAAAAGGTAAAAAACAAAAATAAAATAAAATTTTCCAGTAAGTAAACAACTGGAATGTAACAAATCAGCTTAAATCATCAATCCGAAGTTCTTCAAGCTAATCAGAACCACAAATTCAATCAAGTCAACAAAACCCTAATTGACAGAAAAATTTAGTTACCCGGCATCAGATGAACCGTTTAGGGTTTGCACGGGCCATGAGAAACCCGAAACTGGGACAGAGAAATTCGCGTCGAGAACCGGGGTTTCATCGATCAGGCCGTAGTCTGCAAGCCAATTCATATTTTCTGGGGACACCATTTTGCAATGATTGTGAATTCCGAAATTCGCCGGAAAATCGTGCAGGTTTTCCGGCTCTGCGAATTTTCCCGCAAAACAAATGGAAGAATTGGTAGTAAAGGTGGTTTAGGGTGTGTTTGGGGGGAGAGAAAACAAGTAAAATTGGAAGTGTTCTTGTCGTTTATGTATTGGGAAGAAAAAGAGACATGACACTTTGGGACGCTGAGATACAGAGACAGATAGAGGCGGGCGTGTTTGGTGCACGCATTGGTGAAGTACTGAAGTTTCATGTCGTCATCGTGCACTCATCTTAATGGGCTCTTATTGGACTTTCAAGCCCAATTTCTGTATTAAATTCATGTATGGATTAATATATATTCATTATTCAAACCTTTTGGTAAAACTAGTTTTTAGCGGTGTCGTTAAACTCGGTTGGATTAAAAGTTGAGTGGATGACTCATTGGTTTAACGAACGAGTTACTGATTGAATTAGTGAGTTATAAAAATATCAATAATATATATTAACTAATTATATAATTTAAAAAGATTATAATATAATAAAATATAAAAAATTCGATCCTGCCAATTGGGTGTGTGCGAATAGATCCATTCAACAGCAGATTGATTATTTCAATTTGATTCTCTTTTTTAAATGGTTCAAAAATAAAGCCAATTCAATTTTAAGATCGATTCACCAAATTTTCGAGTTGATTCGCAGAGTTTGTTCGAATTTAGAGTATTTTAAAGAGTAATAAATAATATATATATTTCTTATTTACATTAGATACAATAACTATTTTAATAAGTTACTCTTGATTTTATTATAATTTTGGAGAATTAATTATTTTCTTAATTTCTGTGCAAAAGCGTTAAATGTCTTATATTTAATTAAGGACATAACAATAGCCGATGTCAATCAAGTATGGTGTGGTTGGTCTTCTCACTTATGTGAGTAGTGAGAGCATCTCCAATGCAATCATGGATTGTGGCTGATGTGTTTTGATAAATAAAAATTGTGGATACTGATGTGGCTGAATGTGTATTTGTAAATGTTAGATTTTAAAAATGGTTTTTCAATACGCGAAGAAGAAATTAATATCAGCGTAAGAAAAAGTTTGAGTGCAATTAGAAGAAGGTATAAAAAATAAGAAAAAATGAATAAATAGGAAAAAAAAGAACAAAAAGTTAAGCACGTTGTTTAACAATAGAGAGTGTGAGATAGATAATGTCTCTTGTTTTTTTTTGACATATCAAACTCACACACTGAATAGACAATAGTATCGGAGAAAATTTTTATTTTTAACTTCCAATTTTTTATACGTAACAAATAAATTAACATAATCAACAGTTGTATTGGAGATGCTCTAAAGCTATCCCTATTATGTGATATGCTGATTTATTTCGATCCATCGAGCCTCTTAATAAATAAAAACAACCAGCGTATTATATGATAATCATAGCGGGTTGATATCCCGACGAAATCATTACATTTGCAGCTCATTTCTTCTTTTACAGGGTAGCGAAATTATGCTAGATGAGAACTAAAGCATAGTGACATACATTTTGTGATTTAGAGAAATAAGGAGAATTTTTCTTCAAAAAACATTATGACCTTCCACTGAAATCGAAGTTTATTTCTAGAATTTCTTATCTTTCTTGTGAGTTTTATTTAAAAAAAAAGTTTAAACGAGGAAGAACTTTCAGATTTTGTTGGTAAAGAAAAAATTAAGTCTTCATTGTCAATTAAATATAGTTTGATCGGTCTTCTTATTTATGTGAGAAGTGAGAGATGTCGAATTCGAATTCTCTCAACCATAAGTGTTATTTCGGTACATCAAGCCTACCAATAAATAAATAAAAATATTCCTTGAAATTAACTTTTGTTTTAATTTTTTTATTATTTCATAACAAAAACAACTCAAAATAAACCTTCTCAATAAATTTTAGCATTTTTGGAAAATCAAATTAAAATGTTACATATCTAACATTAAATACCATTCAACTAAAATCTCAACAACATTAATTTTAATTATGTCTAATTAATAATATCCAATGTATATATATGTTTTCCGAAACTAAACATGGTTTTAATTCTCAATATATAATAAAATCAAATACAATATTACTTGCTGTTAATGGTTAAAAAAAATAATGATAACTTATGGCAAAGACCAATTGGTCATTTCATATTCATAACTGTGCACTTGATAAATTTGCAAGGTTGGGAAAGGAAGTAACCGTTTGACCTCAATCAACTTGTAACTACGTGGAGAGAGAAACTAAGAGAGATAAAAATATCGTGTATAAAGAGACAACCTTACCCTTCTTTGTTATCTCTAGTTATTTTTGTCTACTTTTCTTTGTTCTCTCTGGTTTTCTTGTTTTCTCTAATTCTCCAACAGTTTTCTTTTTCTTCTTTTTTCCTCTCTATAAAAAAAAAAAAAAAAAAAAATTCTCCAACAGTTTTCTTTTTTCTTCTTTTTTTTTCCCTCTAATACCAAAAAAAAAAAAAAGAGAGAATATAAAGTGGCATTTAATTTATAAATATAACACAATAAGCATAGGTTTCTCACGCAAATTAGTCCTACCGTGCAGCCTGGCCTGAAAAAGGGTTTTAAGGACTACAATAGGTCAGGACCTTAGAGAGCAAATAAGGGATCCTGCACGTCATTAAATAGCTAACGATATAGTGCAATTGTGCGAAATCGTCGAGTATAGGTAGTGAAGTTTTATGCCGCACACTTTTAGTTCATCTTATAAACTCTTCTCACATTGCTTTTTCCTTTCGGAAATTTGGATTACCAATAGTATATTATATAACATCTTGTGAAATTTCTTTATTGTTATTGAAATTTTGTGTTTCTAATTAAATTGGAAAAAAAAATGAAAAAAATGTGTTCTTGTTAATTTTTATGGTTTTAGTTTCTTGATATTATTATAATTTAAAATTTTTTTTATATAAGGGATTTTTTAGATATGAATAATGTAATTACTCTAACCTGGCTTACCAAGATCTTCTAAAGTATACTTTAATAACATGATCTTATAGTAATGTCTTTGAAAATATAAAAATTGATTAAGGCGCTCACGGCTACACATTTACGGACATGACATTTTAGTGAACTAATGACAGGTGAACCAAATTGTAATCCTTTCGATCAGTTTTCCAACCGATATAATCGATCTATCGATATTTTCTAAATTTTGAAGAAAGGGCTTGGGAAATATAATAAAAGAAATATTTAATGTGGCTTTCAAGCAATGCAAATATCTCCGAGACAGGACATGGATATATATACAATTTTGGATAGATGACCCTTGTTTTTTACGTAAGAACAGTGAATTCGGCTAATAAAAAAAAAAAAAAAAAAAAGGAAAATGGCATTTAGATTTAATCCCAATAATAGTTTTAATTAGTCTACTGAAAAAGGGTTAAGACTTACCTAAGAATTAAACCTCAGTCTTTAAAAGCTAGATAGTGCATTTTGCATCTCATATAAAGTGAAGTTTTATGCATTTAGTTATACTTATCTTGCTTTTCTTCGGAATTGATTACCAATGTATATATAAACTCTTGTGAATTTCTTATTTTATTGAAATTTTGTGTTTCTATTAAATTGAAAAAAAAATGAAAAATTGTTCTTTATTTTGTGTTTTAGTTTCTTGATATATATATATTTTAATTTCTATAAAGGGATTTTTAGATAGAATAATTAATTTACTCCAAAATCTCAAAGTATATTTAATAACATGTAACTTATAAGCTAATGTCTTTGAAAATATAAAATTGATTAGGGTAAATATAACATGAATTAGTTGAAATATGAAATTTGTAATTTTGATTGTTCACATAATTATTATTTTTACATGAGAAAGCCTTGGAAATATTAATAAAAGAAATTTTAACTGTGGCTTTCAAGCAATGCAAATATTCACCATGGATATATATAAATTTGATAGATGACTTGTTTTTTACTAACAGGAATTCTAATAAAAAGAAAAATTACAACCCTTAAAGACCTTAACTTAAAAAAAGATGTTTAAAATAAAATGTGAAGCCACATAATTAATTAAATAATTATAATTAAGTAGAGAGAATAAAGGCATGGACCCTTTTCTTGATCTCATGTGGGTTAGCACCCACAAGTTTATGAACCTTTGCTCCTTTACTCATCAACACAAATGTTGGCATGGCCTTCACCTCCATCTTTGTAGCCACACCCTAATCATCAAATTAATTATTAATTAATTATAGATTAGCCACAAATTTATGGCCCAGTAGCTGCTTTCGGCCCATTTCAGCACAGATGCTATCAATTAGGCCCAATATTATTTAAATTTCTATTTATCTTTTTATTTTTAAAATTTTCAAATATATTAATTAACTTACAATTAACACAACCATAAAAAGATAATTAGTCTAAAGAAACAAAATATAATATATGACATTTCTTGTAATAATATAATGCTTTTTTCAACAAAAATAAAAGATGAAACAAGGGTAATTCTCCTATTTCACATATATTTTTTTATTTTACCATGATTCAATGTAAACAATGGATGAAAGACACCTATTTATTGTGATTTAATTAATTTTGGTAAAAAAAAATGTTTCTTATGATTTTCAAATTTATTTTTTGGTTAAAAAGAATTTCTAGTGCATCTATTAAGCAAACATTTACCTTAAGCTCATCCACATCCACTGTGAGAAACAGAAAATCTTGATAGGTGATGGCTAGTTGCTCAAAGAAAGGATTCATGGCTACCGATGGCATGCACCAAGAGGCTGTAAAGTGCACCATAACCTACAATTCCACAAAAGATAAACCCTATCAAAGTTTATATTTCTTCTCATTTCTAAAAAAAACAAGTCAAACCCTATCTTTCTTGTAAGCTCTCACTCTATTGATTTCAATTTGAAAAGTTACTAAAATAAACAATATTCTTATGATAAGATAATTTTATAATGGACAATAGAATTATTTTTAGATTTAGTTAAGGACCAATCATCTGTACTAAAATTAAAGATTTATAAATGAGAATAAATTTTTATTTATAGTCGGACTCTAAGATTCGAATCTTAATTAATAAGATAAAGAATAAATTCACTTGTCAAAATTCTAAAAGTATCTTTTCATTACCATTTAACTATCAGATGAAATACTAATTCATTTCAGATTTAGAAGCGTTTCCAGAATATTGATTCTATGACTCGATCTTACAACTAAATATAGAATTTAGTGCATACCAACCACTCGATAAGATATCTTGTATATACTTTATTTAAATGCCTTAATCACAACAGAATGAGAAAAAAAAAATTTGAGGTTCCAAATGACAAGTACTTACGGGGCAGCCTTTATTGGCAGCTTGAGTAGTGAAGAAATTCCATGATTCTTCTGAGTCTACTTTGACAACTCTTGACTTCTTCACCTGTTTATGTTGAGCCATTTCCTCTCCTTCTTTCTTTCTTCTTCCTCTCCTTCTCCTTCTCTTTTTATGAAAGAATGGTCTAATTTATAGAGGCCTTGACCAAATATAATGTTTGATAACTTTTTAATTTTAATTTTTCATTAACTAGTTTATTTAGGTTTAAGGTTGTATTTATCCTAGAAAAGATTGCAGTGAATTGATTAATGTAGGACCCAGTTTTGGATTCTACTTAGTGCTTATTCCAACATATATCTACAAAGAGTTTTGGTTTATCCATTTCCATGTCACCATAATCATGAAGTTTTGTTTACATATATCTTTATAATTTGACCTAACCTAACCAAAACATAAAACACAAACAATTTTTTTTTTTTTTCTCTAAAGATGGTATTAAACCCTTTTAATTGATTCTTTTGTTGTCTATAATTTTATGGATGAAATTAAATTGAATAAATACAAAAATTTAGTCTCAACAAAATTTACAAAAAAATTAAGAGATTTAATATTAATTTTTTATTTATAGTGTTGGATGAAATAACTGTTAACATTAGTGTTTAGAGTTTGAAAGATGGGATTACGAAAGTTTACTCCAAACGCTTCTAAAATAATTTGTTACTCTAAACATTTGATGTTACTCTAAATGTTTAACGGATTATGAAACGTTACTCTAAACAAAACGCTTATTGTTATTTTAAACATTACTATTAAGACATACAATAGTTATTAAAATAGTTAATTTTATCGAACAACATCTTAAAAAGTTGAAACCAGAACCGATTCTTCCCTTTTCGATTTGGGATTGAATTCTTTGGCCCAATTAGGATCTTTTTCCGTATCGAGTTTGGTTAGAATTTCTGATATCTATTATTTCATGTCAGCTAGAGTTAGTTCAATTGATACATCTGAATGAAATTATTGATTTATGAAAACAACTATATATATAAATAATACTTGTAATGTAATGATGATAGTTTCACTTTTTATTCTTATCTTCACCAACCCTTCTGCTGTATCTCCACTTGGGCATGATTGAAAAAAGATTTTAATCTCCCACTCGAAGTGAAAAAACCAAAAAGATACCATCAAAATGTTTAAATTCAAAATCTCTTTTAACAAAAGGTCAAAAATGCCCTCTATTATGGATATCCTTTTGGTGGTCAGTAGTAACCAATACTATACTTTTCTTGAATGGATATAACTGAAAATCCTAGCTTCATCACTTCCACTCTCACTCGCTAACTAAGCTTTTCTGCTATGGCTTACTTATCAAATCTAAATGGTATAACTGAAACATTACCGGCCACACCAAAACTTACAAACAAGCAAAAAACCCAAAAAAGAACAAAGATTATTGGATTTCTAGGCAAGAAACAAGTCAACTTCGATCAAGAACAATCATTTCATACCACAAGAAGACTGGCATTAGGCCTTGCTTCTATAGCTCTTACTGGAAACTTCGGTAATGGGATCTCTCTTGCTGAGGATAATGGCTTCTGGCTGCTTGATTTCCCTTTGCCTTCGCCTACTGTTGATAATAGTAAGCTTTCTATAATCTTTCATGTTACAATAATGGTTATTTCTATAATTAAGCTTTCTATAAACTCCTGACCAGTTGCCATTCCTAAATGTTTCGAGTAGAAACCGGATTAGTTCTTACAAGCTCGTTTCTGTAATATAGAGATTGCAAATGAGAAAACAGGCACTCGTTCATTCATCAAGAAAGGAGTCTATATGGCAAATATTGGGGTTGCAGGGAGCATGTATAGGATAAGGAAGTATGCTTTTGATCTCTTGGCATTGGAGGATTTGATAGGACCAGACACTTTGAACTATGTTAGGAAGTATTTGAGACTCAAATCCACCTTCATGTACTATGATTTCGACAAAGTTATCTCTGCAGCTCCAGTAAATGATAAGCAACCTCTTACTGATTTGGCAAACAGATTGTTCGACAACTTTGAGGAGGTAAATATGATTGCTGTACAGCTCATTCTTGAATCTTGATATATAAAACTAACTTTATGAGCTTTTTTCTTGAATTGATTGGTTACGTTGCTGATAATATTTATAGCTCGAAGATGCTTCAAGAAGGAAAAACCTGCCTCAGACAGTACTTTTGGTTTTAATTTCAAGTAAAGAGATTATTCTCCAAGAAGTCATGGACAGAATGCCAGATCTACTTTAAAATGATGTATCATCTATCAATCTCATTGGTCCATACATTTGCTCTTAAAATGTATTTCTGCCTTTCATTTTATTATTTTCAGAATGGTGTTTTAAGAGCAAATGGTGATCACTAAACTATTTTTTTTACCCTACTTTTGGTTTTAATTTCAAGTAAAGAGATTATTCTCCAAGAAGTCATGGACAGAATGCCAGATCTACTTTAAAATGATGTATCATCTATCAATCTCATTGGTCCATACATTTGCTCTTAAAATGTATTTCTGCCTTTCATTTTATTATTTTCAGAATGGTGTTTTAAGAGCAAATGGTGATCACTAAACTATTTTTTTTACCCTACTTTTGGTTTTAATTTCAAGTAAAGAGATTATTCTCCAAGAAGTCATGGACAGAATGCCAGATCTACTTTAAAATGATGTATCATCTATCAATCTCATTGGTCCATACATTTGCTCTTAAAATGTATTTCTGCCTTTCATTTTATTATTTTCAGAATGGTGTTTTAAGAGCAAATGGTGATCACTAAACTATTTTTTTTACCCTACTTTTGGTTTTAATTTCAAGTAAAGAGAGAAATTAATATTCCCATCAGCATAAATGGTGTATGCAACAAGTCAGTTTGAAACTCATTCTCAAGAATATGATAATATAATACAAATTTGATAAGAGTACAGCCCTTACAAATGTAATTCTCCAAGAAGTCATGGACAGGCTTTTCATATGCAATAATGTCTTTTTTCACTATACAAGTTATAATCAGCTCATGTTAGTATCACTCCCCACTTTCTCAATTTATCAATACTCGTGATAGAGGTAATATTCTGAAATACAAATGATATTTTGTTCTGATAAGAATCAGCCGAAGCTCAAGCGAGAATCTGAGGATCGCATGATGGTATGGCGTCGAGGAATTCCTATCTCACAAGCATTTACCCTGGCTGCAAACCGGAGCGAGCATAGTGACTCGCCCAATGAAGAGGGATCAGGAGAGATGTTCACAAACATCAGTGTCTTCGAGTCTCCACCCAAACAAGGCTGAATGAATATGGAAATGGTGATATAAGGGATGACAATGTTTTAATGATCCAAAGCACAAAAAGTACCGAATTAATATTATGATTCAAGTGTAAGGCAGAAGTCTTTAATGATTAAACTAGTAGAAACTTTGCATGCAAAAATTATAGGGGCAGTTAGCATGAAAATCTTATGAAGTTAGTTCAAAATGTTGAGGGAATCATTTTAAATACTTCTATATGGATTCCTCTTGGAATTGAAAGGGCTAACATGACATTCCACTTTTATATAGAGATATAGGAAGCTAATATGTTAAGTTAAATACCTTCACAAGGCTAATCTTAAACTATTACCTGAAGAAGATAAGTAAGCTTTGAGTTTCTAAATGGTACATAGTCCTCCTTCTTTGCCAAGGCAAAGATAACATCACTTAAAGATGATAAACTTTTGTTGATGGCCTGAAAAGTTTAAAATAAAGAGGAAGAAAAAGACATTAATTGATTACCAAAAGCATTTAATGGAAGGAAAACAACAAGAAATAGAATAAAATCATAAAATCGAGTCAAATTACTTGAGTTTCTTTTAATCTATCCCCAGTTGAGCCGCTCTTAGAAAGACGCTCGCTCCCAGCAAGATCAATAAGATTCAAGACACCTTGCACTTGTTGGTCAGTGCTCTGATGAAATATAAACATTCAATTTAAAGGGGGAAAAGCTTTTAGAACAAATAGAAAACAACTTACTCAAGAAAAGAATGTCATTACCTCATTAGTTCCAGATATTCGTAGGGTGAAAACAAAGTGACTTCTAGATGACTGTTCATTCATCTGGGTCTTGCCAACAGATCTGCAGAGAAACAAAAACCAACGTTATTGTTTACAGACGTTTCAACTCAAGGAAACCAAATTGAAATAAACTCACACTATAGTCTATTAATTTGTGTCTCAAACAATTTTCTTTTTCTTGGTTTTGTATAATCAGAATTATCCCTGCTTTTCTCATTGTCAAGCTTTTAATTCTAATAAAAAGCATCAAAACTTCAAGCAAAAATGCAACAAAAACAAATATAAGAGTTTCCTGAGCATGCATAATGCACTAATGTAGAGGTGATTAAACAGCCATCCAGTTTTTGAGCATAATCACATTTCTCAGAATACATGTATCATACTTTGACCAAAGAATACACAAATCATATATGTGCAAAGAGGGCTAGAGAAGAATTTGCTTACCTACTGTTAGCAGCTTGTTCTAACAGAAATGAGACCTCCCTAGTACTACGAACATCCACAACAGTAAGATCAGAGACATGTGTGTTTCCATTGGCATCGTGTTTAATTGCATATTGCTTTCCACCAGCACTCATACCATTTTCTGGTCGTGATGGTTCCCGATTTGTTGATAACAGGTCACGAATTGTTTCATTGTATATTTCTAACATTGACACCTATAATTGATTGTAGAAATAGAATATTTAGTGATAACAAAAATTGTGTGTATGCTGTATCATTTAACGATATTATATAGTTCACCTGCATTTCATATTTCCAGCCTTGTGACAGAAGTGATTGCCTGGTTTGGAATATTTGTTCTAGTGACCGGGGAATCAACCCCTTCTGCTCTGGGTTCCCCGGTTTGCCCATCATAGTGTAAGTTTTACCTGAACCTGTTTGGCCATAGGCAAAAATGCAAACCTGGAAAAAGAAAGAATAGTCGTCCATTCAAACATGTGGCACGGGTAAATGACTTACAAAATACAATTGTACAGTTGGTATATTCCATTTTAATAATGGATTTTGTGTACTAGCTACAAATGCATGGTTATGTATCAAGAATCCAACTCAACAAAACTAAGATGTGAAATCAGGTTGCAAAAACAATCGAACTAGAAGGTTGTTACAACTGCCGCAAACAACTTCAGACAGAAACTTAGTAAGCATAAAGCTCATAATGCACAATGCAATAACTAGTTACCGTCAGTCACACATTTGTTTCTGAAGGAGTAATTATTATCAAGAAGTTGGACCTCAATAAATTACCTTATAACCATCAAGAGCACTTTGAACAAGCTGTGAAATTTCAACAAAAACATCCTCTTGTGATGCATCTGGCGTAAAAACTCTGTCAAAAGTGAAAGGATATTTTTGCCCTGAAGAGGACATAAACCTATAAGTTTTTAATTTTCAAAAGCCAGTTTGAATGAGATAAAAAGAATCGTGTTGCACACTTACCATTTTGCTGCAAATCAATGCCTCGCCCAAGCGCTTCTGTTGTTGTGGGATATGATACGATCTTGCCTTCAGCACAAGGACTATCATCAGGCAAAAGAGGCCGCACTCGACAAAATACGCGGATGTTCCCTTTCAGTTCCTGTAGCGTAAGATATTTTTAAGCTAAATATATAGTATTAGTCAAATTGAAAAACTATGGCACTGAGTATTACCAAGATTGTGTTGTGTAACTTTTTACGGAGCTTCTCTCCTTCAGTGAGTTTAAACTCTGCATCTTCCAGGCGAGTTTGTAACTCAGTTATAAGCCTTTTTTGTTCTTCAAACTCAGTTCTTGTCTCAAAAGCAGAAAGATCAGATACCTGGGAGGGACATAAACTTATGAAAGTCAACCAAAACAAACTTAGAAGTAAATGAACCAAATGAGAAACAGTTTCCAAAATACCCTTAGTTTATTCTGCGCATCCTCTAGCTGCTCCTGCAGTGTTCTTAACTGCTTACCCTGTGATAGGCATCTTTCCTGTAAAGAAATTAGCAACATTAGAAAATCATATCTTGTAAACGTATAAGATCAAATTAGGGATTAAAAGTAAAAGCTAACCTCTAATTCAGTTGATTTTACTGCTAGCTCTTCACAATTAACCACTCTAGTTCTTAGTTCTTGCACTTCTGACATGTATTGTTCACGATCATTTTTCGCCTGCTGCAACTCTCCCTTAAGGGATGCAAGTTCATTCACCAGAGCATCCTTCTGCTTTGTAACTTCATCTAGAGATGCCTAATAGAGTTATCCATCAATTAAATTTCCAAAAAAATGCCATATCAATTTGTATTTGTATATCAAAGATAATGATGATTGTCCTAAGACATCTCATATGCTTATTCCAGGACAAAATGTAATTCCAAAAATAACTTATGTTCAAATTATGTATCATTCAACTAAAAGGTTGTTCCAATTGAATCTTATGATATTTATTCATCAAAGACAAAGGAATAACATATTTGGCTCTATATATTATGCTTATATTTGAACTTTAAAAAGGTCGCCCAAGAAACTAGGAAAGTACAAGTGAAATACTTGTAAAAAGTGCAAGTATCACATCCCTGTTTGGGTATCAACCTCAAAGCATAAGCTATTGGCTGGAAAGGCTCATTTTCTATTTATCTAAATAAGACCATAACCAAACGGACATCAACTTCCCACTCTGATCTTCATTACCAGTGTATAAATCAGGGAATTCTATATTAGATAGCTGAATTTGGACAAGCAGAACAAACCGACAATGCTTAATAACTTCTTCCAATGGAAGTATATTTAAACACTCGACCACGCAGATATTGATTCCTACAATTCTCTATGGTACTTAGGTACTAACTTTTTAAATACCTACCTTTTCTGTTGAAAGTCAGAAGGTAAAAAAATATAGGAACCATGACTTTCAGAACTAAGTCCTCATTTTCAACACCATAGTGGTACTTAACCTATAACTTTGTGTTAGCTGATTACAACACATCCAAATTCCTTTATTCGCTTTAGTGCTGGATGAAAACACTTTTTTGTTTGTGTTCCATCCCTACCTTCAGAAAAATGGAGACAGAAATTTTGATAAATGTGAAAGAGGAAAAAAAGATAAATACAGGGAATAGAGAATAAGAGAACCACAAGAGGACAAGAACAAGGATAAAATATTCATGTTCTTTCTCCCCTCTAAAGAAAACTCACTCTGGTTTAGAACCCAAATAAGATTCATTTTAAGGAAAAAAAAGGACATGTTTATATCCTTCAGAACACCATCAAATCTAAAAGTTATATTCTTTTTACATTCATGGTATTAAGCCAAGGAAAATTTATGGTAGCTGAAAATATTTCTGCCTTCGTACCATCATCCATAAAGCAAACAATGTGAAAGAAATTCCAAATATTAAATCCAGATGAACGGCCAAATTGTGCATGCTTGAGAAAATTAATAACCAAACAAAGATATTAAACCATATAAGTATATTCCTATATTTTAACAATAAGGCCAACTATGACAACTCATCTCTGTCTTCTAAATCAGTGAAAAGGCCCTCAAGGTAATGCATTTTACTGACAGTTTTTGATATGAACCATAGAGTATGTTTTCCATAGAAGAGAACTATCTACAAAGAAGATAAAAACTTATTATGTCAAATAACAATGCCTCAAGAACAATAAAATCAACTTCCTCAATGCTACATCAAAAGTAACTGCTTGCACCATCCAATTAACTAATTATGCAACAAAAGGTTGATCCCCAAGTGGGTCAAAAGAAAAGCAAAAGAGAAGCTCACCTTGCAGGAATTATATTGATCTTGCAATGACTTATGTTGACCCCTCAAGTTGCTGAGATTCTCCACAACAGCAGCTTTTTCTTTCTCTCCACGCTTAACAGTTTCATGAGCAGTATCAAGATCTGTTTGAAGTTTAGTATTGTATAGCTGTAAGCTTGAATTATACTCCTGTAATAGCTTGTACATATCATTTACTGATGCTATCTGCAGAATTCAAAAGAACCCACAAAAGACGCAAGTTATGTTACTTCTGTAAAAAAAGAAGGATAGAAAAAGTGGGAAAGATGTTTCAATGAATTCAAGTTACATTTATTATATTACCCTTTGATTAGCACTTTGAAGCTCTCCTTGAATCTTTCCAAGCTCCTCTGAGAGGGAGGCTTGTGACTTCTCTATACTAATTCTAGCCTCTTTTTCTCTTGCAAGGGCATCTGTTGCAGCCTGTTTGGTGTGTACAAACAAATTTCATTCATATAAAACAATAAACAAAAGAAATTATCAGTTTGGCATGCCACTGAATTTAAAAGTTTATTTAACGTACCAACTTTTCTGATTCTTCTTTGGAAACCTTCTCTTGTAAAGAAGCAAGACTCTTTCTCAACTCCACTATAATCAAATTCAATTCTTCTTCCTTATTTTTCAACATCAACTCTATAATCACATACAAAATTTTGCACTAAGAAACATGTATCTAGGAATCCCAAAAATCCAATAAAAGTATAAACATACCCATTTCAGCACATTGACTTTCATTAAATTCCAGTGCATTTTGCAACCTCTCTTGCTCATATAGGTAACTTCCTTCTAGCTCTTGAAACCATTTGATACAAAGCCTTAGCCTCTTTATGTAATCCATCATATTATCACATCTCTCCTACAAAACCCAAAACAGCATATTCAGAAACTAACTCTAATTTGAATCATAATAACACCATCTAGAAATTATTAAAAGAAAAAAGATTGCTACCTTATAATTGAATTTGTTTTTATATTTCATTCTCTCATTTAACAATGCATCGACATCTTCTCTTGTGAATTCAAATCCACCATACTCTGATCCATTATTACTAGGGGGAGCACTATTTGGGGCAAGTTCTTGTTCACCATTTACAATTGAGAATGCTTGTCGCACTCTGCCATTGGCTGCAGTCCCTACCATTTTGTTAATTCCGAGCTGTTGCCAGTTATCTACTAGTACCTCATCACCAACATACTTCTTCTATGAAACCCAGAAAAAAAAAAAAAAAACCAAAAAGACAGTAGTTTTTCAGAGATCAAATGATCTTAGAAGACAAAACATTAGAGCAAAGACCACTACACTAGAAGCATCTCCTCAACCTTCTTTTAAATTTCCCACAATAATTACCCAAAAGCAAAAATTTAAAAAAAAAAAAAAAAAAAAAAAAAAAAGCAAAAATTTAAAAAAAATAAAAAAAAAAAAAAAAAAAAAAAACACTAAGATTCACTATCCTAAAGAAAGGAAGAGATAACCATTAGCTCAAATTAATAAACAAAAGAAACCCACATCCTCTTGCTTTAAAATATAGAAAAGAATCTTGAACATGAAATAGAAAAACAAAAGAAACCCATTTCAACCCTCTAAAAACCAAGAACAAAGAGAAAAAAAAAAAAAAAGGAATAATCTTGCACCCAAGAAGCAAAGATAAAATCTTGAACCCAATAAGCAAAAGCATTAGAGATCCATTTTTTAATAATATGAAGTCCAAGATTTTAAAAAGGGAAAAAAAGAGAGCTTACATGTGAAGGGCTTGTAATAATGGGCGTTACTGAGTTAAGTGGAGGCTTGTTCTGGTTCTTGGAGACCATTTTCAAGCAGTGAGAGAGAGACAAAGAGAGGGTAAGTATTTTTAATTGTTATTATTTTTTTCTTGTAATGGTTTTTTTTTTTTTTTTTTTTTTTTTTTTTTTATTTCAGCTTGGAGCTAAGGACGGTAAGTTTGGTCAGAGTCGGTGGTGGGGCCATGATTGAGTTTAAAGCTTACCGATGCCAATCACCGCCGTTGCTATTTAAGGAGGCAGGAAGAGTAGAGAGAGAGGCGAGCCTTAATGCCCTAAATTCAACCCTTCCTTAAAGTTACATAATCAAATTCAACACCAATGTAATTATACCGAATTTTAGTAATATTTTACCGTTGGATTTCGAACTTTTTAAAATATTTTTTTTTTTTTTTTTTTTTTATTTTCAGCTGAGCTAAGGACGGTAAGTTTGGTCCAGAGTTGGTGGTGGGGCCATGGATTGAGTTTAAAGCTACCGATGCCAATCACCGCCGTTGCTTTTAAGAGCAGGAAGATAGAGAGAGAGGCGCTTAATGCCTAAATCAATTCTTAAAGTTAATAATAAATTAACAAAAATGTAAATATACGAATTTAGTAATATTTTACCGTTGGATTTCGAACTTTTTTAAAATAGATTCGGGCGGCATCAGAGAAGGCGTCAGTTATCAGCCGTTATGACTAAATTGCCCTCACCTTTTTCTTTTCCAAAATGTTTGGATTTTTTTTTTTTTTTCTTTTTGCATGTGGCAATGCAAGCATAGTAATATAATTTAGAACATATCAAACATAATTATATAATTTAAGATTAAAGTATTGGTGTTTTATTATTATGTTTATTTTTTTATAAAAATTATTGTAGAGAAACATACACTTTTCAAGGGCAAAATCGACATCTTACAGAAATCAACTATTGTTTTATTAAAAATATATTGCATTATAAACAAAATAATTTAATCTAGAATAATCCGATTATTATTAATTATCGAGTATTGAAAAATTATAAATTTAAAATTATAATCCTTATTAAGTGGTTATTCTTAATCTTGGTCATTCTCTTATTTTAAACATAATAGTTATTATAAAATCTTTGTTATTAATTAATTCTCATTTCATATACAAATTCTTTAATTCTAGTATGAGGGGTTTATTTTTAATCAGATTTTAAAAAATAGACTTATCAATAAAAAAAATATGCTAAATTAATATATTAATGCTAAATTAATAATCATTTGTAACAGAAAAAACAAATATTTTTGTTCTTTGGCTTTGAATCTCAAAATTTTTATAATTATATGAGTGGTAAGAGCGAAACGAAACAGAAGTATTGTATTGGCAGAAGCGCTTGATGAATGTCTTATAGCACGTGGGTTGTTGTCTGATGTATCTGTCTCACTAATATGTACAAGCCATGACTATATATAATTTGGTATTATGCATAATTACATATCCTCATTTTCATTACTATATAAGAATCTCTCCTCCTTCAACCGGATGACTAGAAGTCTCGAGTTCGAACTTTAGGTATGAACACTTGGGATGAAGCGTTTTACCTCCTTTTATGAGTCTGCTCAATATAAATCTGGATTAATCAGCTTTGACTTCAATATTAGTTTTGTACAAAATTTAAGGGTTTTGTGTATATTATTTTAATGAATTTATCTTTTTTTTTACCATCAAAAGTGGAATGATTAAAAAATAGTTAATCTTAAATTTTGGAAGACTTATTTTTAAAAGTGACGTGTTTTTTATTTTTTGTTATACATTTTTTAGTTGGAATCTCTAATTAAAAATTCCTGCATCTGTCACTGCATACAATGATTATACATAATCAAATGAATTAATTTCCTATTTGTAATAATTAATCTTATAAGGGGATATGTGACATGAGTTTTATTTATCTTTTAAATAGTGGATCAATAAATATTAATGGGTCATCCAATATGATATATTTAAAAATATCTTAATAAAAAAATATATTAAGATTTTCCATTTCAGAAATATGTTTAATTTTCCTGCAAATACAATAAAAATAAAAATAATTATTTAAATATAAAAATTATAGTTCAAATTTACCTTTGAAATAATTACATAAAATTTTGATCGTTCTTTCAAATATTTTTTACTTCCATTAACATTTTTTAATTGAATAGTAGATAAAATAATATTACGAGTAAATTTTCACAAACCATATTAAATTAAATAAACCATTTATTTAATATTTTTTTATAATATAATTAAAATGGAAACGGGAAGAAAAACAAAAACCCTGACAGCATATAATACTATTTTAAAAAATAATATAAAATAAAAATGCCCTGACTATTGAATTGACTTGGTAAAATTTGACTTAGAAGAATCAAATTTTCTAGTGTATGTGAATATATTATACATAAAAAAAGTGGAGAGCACGAATTTTGGATGACCTGTATCAACCAAAATACCAAACATTTAACAAACATAACTAAACTAACTAACTAACTAATTTTTAAGGCTGGTGTTATAATGTAATTTGCAATTTTATTTTGACTTTGAATGATACAAGTAAATAATAATTAATATAGTTTTCTTTTCTGTAATTTAAATATTAAAAACAAATATCGGGTACGTACTGATTAATAAATAAAATAAAATAAATATATTACTAAAATCTTCGAAATATATACAGACAATAGAGGTATGAGAATCGAGATGATTTGTTTCCCCAAGAGCATCTATCTTCTTGTGTAGCATATGAACGGGACAAACTTGAACAATAATTACACTTCTCCACACTGTTGAGCTATTTTTGATTATTTTCCTAAATTTTTCAATTATTTTCTTTTTGTAATTCCAGAAATTCAAATTTTTTTTAATTGTGGATTAAAATTTCAATATAAATAATGATAAATAAATGAAAATAAATTTTTTTTCCATATATATATATATATATATAGAAGGATATCTTTCTTCACCACAAACTAGACACCAAACATGTGCAGTGCTATTGTAGGATTTCTCACTGGTATGATGAAAATGGATTAAATATATGTAGCAATACTTTATTCTGCAAATGGGTGGCAAGAAAATTTCACTTTTACTTTCCGGGAAAAACTTTTCCATCACTCATTCCAAGATTTATTAGGTAAGAAGTAAATAAGAAAAAGTAGAGATCTCACATGGGGCAAGCAGAAGCAGGTGCTCTATCCATTTATTCTTTGGTGCCTAGTTCCATTCATGTGGTTCTTTTTAGCTATAAAATTAATCCTTTTTGGAGGCTTCTTCTTTAGCCGTTGCTTTCCTTACTATTTTCACTCTCTCTCTATTCTTTATTGCCAAAAGGCTTAATTAGAATTTTATCCTAAACGTGTTGCACTAACCCATCCACTTGAAGTAATTAAGTGAATATATACATATAAAAAAAATAAAAGAAATTAGCTAGTTAATTGTTAATTATAATTACGAGCCTCATTAAATATATTTGCAGGGAGGGGCGGAAAATCTTAACTGTGACTAAACTCCGATCCAAATTAGACGGTTCCTGATAATAGATCCAGATACCAGTAATTTACCAAAAAAAAAAAAAAATTATCTATTATAACGAAGAAGATATGAACCTGGAACCTCTCACCCTCAATATCGAATGTAAGAAAATCAATCAGATTATACCTAATTATTAAAGAATCTATTATTAATTGAACCAAAACCAATTTAATTGGTATAGTGTGCATTGTGACATCCTACCGAGTCGAGTCTTAGCATAGAGTTGAGTAGTCGAGTTGAGTCGAGTTGAACCAAACCCGGTTGGGGTAGGAGTCGAGTTGAACAAACCCGGTTGGAATATAGAATGGGTTTATAAGTGAGTTACTTGAGTGAGAGGAAAAGATCAAAGCATGATGGGTGAGGAATTTTATTGCATTAAAAGATCAAGCTTGTATTAAGTTGGTAGCCTTGTTTACAATTGAGTACCATTTAGAACTTTTACACACAAAGGTCATGGATATTTATTGGGGGGGGACCACCCGTGGCATTACCATTTACACTTTCCATTGTCATGTGATTCTCATCTGGCGTGTGGTTTTCTCCTGGTGTCGGTGGGCCCTTCCTGGGTCAATCTTTAATGGTAGTAGCCTTAACTTCAATTTTTCTTCTATCCAAGTAAGTAACCTTCTGTGAGTCATTAATTGATCAATGTGCACTATTATGTAAATTCATAAGAATTCTTTATTATAGGTGAAAAGTTGAAGTTTTTTTGGATAAGTCAAAGAGTGTTAGAAAAGAAGCTAAAAGAAGAGTCGAAGCTTGAGTACGTAGATATCTCTTTCTTTACATTTCTTTGTATGAGAGTGAATGTGGTGTGTATGGCGTGAGTGAGACAATATTGCTTCATGTGAGGGGAGGATGGTAATGGTGAGAAACAGGGGAGAACCAGGGGAAGTTATTGAATTAAATGAGATAAAAATAGTGAGTTTATTGTTGGAAACATGGTTTGCTGGAAATTTTACCAGTAACTTCATCTGATTTTGACCCCCATTTAATTGAGGAATTAGGAAGTTGTCATAGGTTTATTTGTTTCCTACTATGTGTTAGCTTTACATGCGAGTTTGTTGAATCATTCAAATTCGGAGTTTATACTGAGAGATAGACCAAAAGAGTACAGATTTGCAGGCTGAGGCTGGAAAACGCGAAGCGCGCGCGAATCGCATGACGAGCTCGCGTTGCCTTCTCGCGCTCGCGACTTTCAAATGCGCGCTCGCGACTTTCACCTGAAAATCTCTGACTCTCATTTGGCACATCTCGCGCTCGCGACTTTCAAGTGCGTTCTCGCGACTTGTGCTCGCAAACTCTCTGTCTCTCATTTGGCACTTTTCGCGCTCGCGACTTTAAAGTACGCGCTCGCGTACTTGGCCCTTGGCCTGTAAGCGCTCGCGTATGTGACATCCCAGGTTTGGGGCACAACACCTTAGGCGAATCCCACATCGGCTACGCACAAGGTGGAATGCTCTTCAGTTTTGCACTCTAGGCGCTCCGCGACTTTCAAGTTAAGCGTCCACTTGTGCCCGATAACTCACTGTCGTCTCATTTAGTGCTGCTTACGCGCTCCGCGACCTTGGCAAGGCCGCGCACGCGAAACTTGTGTTTCATTGCACTTTTACGTTCGCTTGTCAATGCAATTGTATATCTTTTGCTTCATGTATATGCCTCCAATCCATTTTAACACCAAAATCAGACAGTTAAATATGTATTAAACAACATGCAAGCCATGCAATGATTGAAATCCAAATAAACATTATGCAGGTTATGAACTCATGATATATGATTTGTGTAATATTATTGGACATGCACCACAATTATGCACCATTGAGGTTAGTAAAACCATTGTAGATAGGCTATGTCGCGACATAGCCGATAGCAGATCTGCCCTCATACAGTTTGATTACTCCGGGCTACAGGCCCGTGAGTGGATATGTTATATTATGACTCTCATTAGCAGCCAAGGCATACAGTATTCATCAGTTTCAACAGTTTTTTTATCACTTCGCGTTTTACATTATAACCTTTATGGAGCCATACAGATACTGAACATAACATTTCATGAATCATACAGTATTGAGTAACAGTAGAAAGATAATTCAAGGTATAATGAAGCGATCATGTTATAGTGCTTATATGTTAATGTATCCCATATGCATTGTATATGCGTATTTCTCTATCTATGGGATGGTGCTTAATTGTTATCTTTATGATGTTGAGATATCCACTGAGCTGCTATTTGCTCAGCGGAGTTAACCTGTTTTAAACTCGCAGTTTTTGAGATTGGACAGTAGAGAGTCAGCTGACGAAACTGCTTGCAGATTCATCCTGGTAGAAGACTCAGTCTTTAGGGCTAGCTACTCATTTGGGGATGGCTTATTCTGTTGTCCTAGTCTTTTGCATGGCAGTACAGGGCACACAGTTGGCCATTTCATTTGTAAACTAGTATCATGTTTCTTGATAAATATAAATTACATTATTTTTATTACAACATTCGCATGCTATTATATTCTAATATACTTTATGATATTCAGCATGACAAAGACATAAAGTCAACAGGTTCACTGTAACGCTCTCGACTTCCGTTTCATTCGGGGTCTTCACGGGTGACCAGTGAAGGGAATGTGTTACATGCAATTAAATTGAATATTAGTCGCTATTAAATTTGGCCCATTGTGTATACAACATCAGCATGCTATTATATTCAATATACATTATGATATCAGCATGACAAGACATAAAGTCAACCAGTTTGTAACGTCTCGACTCCGTTTATTCGGGTTTACGGGTGGACCGGGAAGGGATGTTACATGCATAAATTAATATTAGTATAAATTTGGCCCATGTTAATTGATTGAAGTAAAAGATCGAGATTCAAAAATTGCTATTGGAAGTAATGTCCTATGTTGAGATGAGATATAAATATTTATAGTAACTTTCCTATTCTAACCGAAAGAATAAATACCAAAAATAATCCCAATCTTAAATATTGAGTTAGAATCTTGGGCATTAATTACATAATTAAATGACTCTTTGACCAAATGGTACCTCTATTTGCACTGATTTGAGTAACGTTTTGTCCATTTTATTAATTGTTGCGATCATTAATCATTTAAAAGGAAAAAAATTTGATATTCTTCATGACTTTCCAGCTTGTTTCTTGACCTAATAATGAAAAAAATGGCGAGGCATCTCTCTCCAAAAGCTACTATTGATGTTCATGGCTTGCCTTTTTTTCTCGATCGAGATAATTAAGACATAGATTTAATTTCATTAATCACTAGTTAGAAGTGACACATCAATCAAACACCATCTATTTTCTGAGTTCCATTTACGTATTTTTTTCAAACATGTGACATGCAAAGCTTGCTAAAATGAGCAAAAGATTGTAAGATTGTTTACATGTTACTAAAAATGATTTGGCAGCCATTTTCTACATCTGGTATTATATTGCCTTATTCTCAAGCAACGTAAAAATAATAAAAGCTTTCATCTTCAAGCTAAAAACCCTTTTAATGGCGTCTTTTTGGATGCGTAGGGCAACATTAAAGCATATATTAGGTGCAGAAATTAAAATGGTCACTTTCAAATCTTTGGTTACTCTGTAAGCTTTTAATGTGTATATAAAATGTGGTATTCTGACTTTGTCTGTTGCCATGGGCATTATTTTGTCTGCAAAACCTGTGCCAAACAATTGGCAGATTCTTAATGCCTTCTGCTATTAAGAATCTGATTATAAAATTGATATGCAATTGACCATTCCTCAAGTTTCTAGACAAGTTCCCCTAGATTTGGGGTAGAAGGAATTGTTTGGCCTGCCAGAAAATGTAAGAATGTCTGTCAAAGATACAATTGTAACAACCAGGAGAATTTTGTTTTAGTTTATTCTTTAAAGAGAGAATTTGGTAGATTTGGAAACAGATGAAGAAAGAGTACGAATTTCTTTTAGATGGATAGTCATTAAAAATAATTTAAGTGTTTGAATTACCTATCATGTTAATTTTTTTTTATAAGTTTGCACTTGTGGTTCAAATTCAAATCCGGTTCATTTCAAATGATTATGTACTTAAATTGATTTATTTTGACTAAAAAATGCATAAATATATACATTCATTAATATTTTTTTCACCTTTTCAATTTTCTGGTTGATCCTAACAGAATTTTCTATTCAAGAATATTATTAATTCTCTAGAATGTTATTTGAATTAAATTCTAATTGATTAAAGAAGAAAGTCTTGTCACTTTACCAATTGGACAAGGATGATTCAATGTATGTCTATTTTCTTCTTTGTTCTGGGCCTAAAACAGCTACAATACAACCCTATGTTCCTAATTAAATGATTTCCTAAAAGAAAAAAAAAAATAAAAATTAATGTTATCTTAACTGGAGATGCGGGGTATCGATCCCCGTACCTCTCGCATGCTAAGCGAGCGCTCTACCATCTGAGCTACATCCCCTTTCATGTTTATAAATTTTTTCAGAAACTTATAACGTAGCAAAAAGAAAAGGAGATTTGTTGTGGCTTGTGGATAGATTATGAAGCTCTGCTGCTGCTGCAACATTATTAGGAATTTAGGATGGAATATCAATTTAAGATTGAAGAGATCATCAATGAAGAGTTTATAATTATGCTTCAATATTTTTCTTCACATAGTAAATGAGGTTGACTATGTTGTGACAGGCACTAAGAAATAGCTTGTCAAGAAAGTAGAAACAAAAACCATATGCTATACTGACATAATTGTAAGCATCAAGTTTGATGGATTACTAGATGATATATATATAAATATTCCCATGCACAAATATTTTCTAAAAGAAAATGTTTCTTTAGATTCTATTCAATTATATTTCAGGTTGTTATAAGTTTATGGACAATACAATATGGGACACCATAGCCCAATAGCATGGTTTGCATATGGAGGGGAAGAGTGTGATCTAAGATAGAACATGCTAGGGGAGTCATGATTTTGAATATGTTATTATGGTTCCATCAAAGTTGAAAGCCATAGGTTCTTGTATTTGAAGCTTATCAGTCACTGAAGCATAATTCTTTAATTATGGCTAAATCTTGGATGAATGACCATTTCCCTTTCTGGGGCAAGTGTGAACTAAAATATGTTCTTACAAGGTCCATACTAATTAAAATGATGTACAAGATTTCATAATGTTAGAACTAACATGCTTTGTTTTTTTTTACATGTCTTTTATTCTAATATCAAATTTACACTGAATCAGAATTTTTGGCTACAGTACTGTCATTAGCTTCACAATCCACAGAGTTCTTGGGGATTCTTATTTCTAGAAATATATCATTGTTCAAATATGCCTCTATTTTTCTCCAATCTGCATCTTCTGGCAGCTCAAGCCTTCTGACATAACCATGCTCCCACCAATTCCCACTTCTCCAATCTTTTGCTTTTGTCTCCCTTTGTTGGTTCCATTGCCCACTAATTTCCACAATCTTCCCATTTTCTGCATACACTTGCACTGTGTTTATCCCAACTCCTGCTTTATAAAATCAGTAGATTTAGAGTAGGTCTAGTGAAAAAGAAACTTATGAAATTCATTTCTAATTCAATACCTGGTAGGTCTGCTTTTAATACATAAGCTTCATCTGTTTGGAACCAATCAACATTAGTCTTGCCGGAGCTTCGAAGACTAGATAATAAGACATCAGACTCGAATTCCCACAATGGAAATGCATCTGAAGGATCGAAAAACTTGCCAAACAACAATGGACTAAAGAGTGATCCGTCGCGGAATATCTTCTGCACAATTTGATTTCCTTGTGAGCAAAATCTTTTATACACTTCTTCAGTTAATGAAACACTCCATTTATGTGGAGTTTGATCTTTTGTATGAACTTCAAGAACTTTGCAACTTGTCATTGCAGGATTATTAGGTTTGGCTTTTATTTCCTGAAGGTAAGTTGAAGGCTTTTAGGGTTTAATTTATAGTGTGAAAAGATGTTCTTTAATTAATAAAAGCAAAGAATAAATTCTTTGAGAATATTTGGAAGGATGTAAAGTAAAGTAAGAAGGGATTGGGATAGGCAGATTTTCAAGAATGGAGGAAATTTATTTTCACTTTTAAAATAAGAATCTTGAACACTATTTTTGCCTTTTGCTGTCCATACAATTTTCAAAAGGCTTTACACTTCATCACATAATTTGTTGTCTCCAATTTATATAATTGTTACATTCTTGATGTAATAATTAAATAGAATAAAAACAAATTTTATAAATAGGGTTGATTCAATAAAAATAATTAATTATTTTTCAAAAAAAAAAAAAATACAAGAGCTAATTAATTTGGCAACAGGAACTTGCAAATAATAGTGTGATTGACTTTTGTGAATTTAAGCTAAAAAAAAAAAGTAAGTTAAATTATGATTTACTCACAAAATTATTAAAACAAACATTATTCAATGGTAAAATTAATACTTCCTTTTTATATTTTAAAAATTAAAATTAAAACTAAAATCCCACCTATATCATTCTTAAGTTATGAAGTATTATTAGAGGTCACCATTACTTAGTTTTGATTGAAAAATTGAGTTTAATGCTTAATTTGAAAATTCGATTCAATTTATTTAGAAATTTGGTTTGGTTCTATTTCAATCAAAAATAATTTTTAAATTGAAATTAATCGAATTAAATCCGTTCAATTTGATTTCTTAATTAATTAAGTGTGGATTCAATTTTCTTTATAACAATTTTCGTTGATTTAATTTTGACTATTTTATATCTGAATCAAATCGAATCAATTAATACTTAGCCCTAACTATTATTATATCGATTAAACTTGAGATTTTTCTCTCAATGTTGTAATTATTAAATTTTGTGAAGGGGAATGACTCGAATAATTTTATATACGCAAAGTTGTGTGAAAGGAATATTTGTGAATGTAATGGATGCCTATTTGCTATGGTTCACATCACATTCTCCTTCTTTATAAATGTATTTTTGATACCTTTAATCTTTATTTCCTTCTTTGCTTTTCAAGTGGCAATTAGTTTTTGACTACTTAAGTTAAAGTTTTGTGCACTGGATTGGATTGCATCCTGTCGTGGCATATGTCCAACTACTTTTTTTATAATACTACCTTTTACACAAGTAATTTTAGCGTTTATTCGGCAAAATTTATTGTTTTGATATTTATTAACTATTTTAGTAGTATTTAGTAATTTCTTATAAAATGCTAAAAGTTAAACACTACACGAGTTAACTTTTTATAAAACATCACCTTAATATTTAAGACTAGTTTAAACGTTATATTACCGGACACTATAAAAAAATAGCTTTTAGCTTTTTCACTTATTAAGATGATAAGTTGTGCTGAACACACATAATATTAGTATATGCATAGTGACATATTCTTGAATTGTTAGTGTTAATTATGTCAAAAAATTCATTTTTACCGTAATAATATTTTGGTATTTAACATTAATATAATATTTGACATTCTTTAACAAAAAGTAATTTGGATAATGAGTTAAAATAGTATAACTAAATTTTTTTAGGGAAAACAATAATTTTATTAATCAGTAGGAAATTCAATAGTGATAATACAAAGAATATGATTTTGAAAAATATTTTATATTTTAAAGCGCGTAATAATAAATTATTATTGTTAAAGAATGAGTAACTTTATTCGCTTGTCTTGTCACCCAAAATAAAAAGAAACTCGGATGTTTCAAGAAGCAATTTCTTGCGATCATCAATCATCACCGGTCTAATTCTTCTACTGATCTTGTTTTTAAGATAACTCCAACCACTTTTTGTGCATCCATTTCAACTTCTACTCGACACAATTTATTATCTTTCAGCCAAGAAAATATCTCCCTCAAGCCTAGAACTTCAGTCAGTCATCCAAGGACTAGGAGTATACTTGGCAGTTGGCACCAAACTGCCTTGTAAAACCCGCCATGAAACAACCTTGATGGTTCATAATAATAGCTCCGAACCCAGAATTATTGCTGCCTTCAAGAACCGCAGCATCGATATTGCATTTCAGAGAGCCTCCAGAAGGCGGCAACCATTAACAAGTCCTGGAGTTTTGATCTTGCACTACACGAGAGTCCGAAATATTTTCCTTTGCATGAGTAGTCAAGAAGTTAGAACATGAGAACATAAAGTTAAATAATATGAGTTTTAGGACACTTTTGAATTAATCGATGCTAAAAGGTTAATACTAGTTAATTAGTTAGCGAGCTTTCCGTTATTTGTCTTTTATGGATGTGATAGTTGAATATTGAAAGGATATTGTAAGGGGATTGGAAGCTAGCAGATGGATTGATGCAGATCAAGTTGGAGGTTTTTTTTTTTTTTTAAAAAAAGAGCAGTTACTGTGTAATCTGGGTTTCAAGCCCTCCTTTATAATAATAATAATAATAATAATAATAATAATAATAATAATAACACATTTGATTTATTTCATTTAAATAATTAAAATAAAATATACAACACAAGCAATAAAGACTACAGTTGAAACTTAAAAGTTAATATTGACAAAATAGAAATTGGGCATCCATGACCCTAAACTCAAGGGCCAGCAGAATCTAGAAATTGACAATTGATAACATAAAAATATTTTTAATTTGACTTTAGTTTAAACATGTCAAAAAAAAAAAAAAATTTGATTTATTTCATTTTAAATAATTAAAATAAAAATATACAACACAAGCAATAAACTAGCAAGTTGAAACTTAAAAGTTAATGATCTGACAAAATAGAAAAATTGGCATCCATACCCTAAACTCAAGGCCAGCAGAATCTAGAGAATTGACAATCTGATTAACATAAAAATATTTTTAATTTGGACTTAGTTTAAACATGTCAAAAAAAAAAACAAAAATCTCTTTCAAAAAAAAAAAAAAAGAAAAGAAAAATTTAATAGAATACACGTTAATTTTATATTGTAATTGTTCCAGGAAAAAAAAAAAAAAAGAAAAGAAAAATTATAATAAATACAGTTAATTTTATTTAATTTTTCCATATTTATCCCTTTTTTTATAATATAAGAATATAGAAGATTCATATTTTAATAACTTGTTTGTTTCAATATTTGACTATTAATAATATAGTATTATATTTGTTGATATGAAATTGTAAATATTACCCTTTTTCTAGAAAAGAAATAAAATTATTAAAAGAAAAGGGAGCCAATTTTTATAGGACATAAGGAGTAATTAAGAGTTACCAACAAGTATGTTTATGTCCAGTGATTTTACAGAATAACACAAGAAAATAAATATTTACAAATTTATTTTGATGATAAATATTTATAAAATTTAGATGAATATTTAAATTTTTTTTCTCATAGTCTACGATTAAAAGAACTGTATAAATAAATAAACTATAATATAATATTATGTATTATGAACCATTTAAATATATGAAAAACATCATAAAAACTTAGAATTTCTTATAAAAAATGAAAATGGAAAATATGAAATGAATTAAAAGCAAACAAAAGAAGGATGCATTATCGTGATCGTTGGATAAGTTTTATTTGAATATTATTTAAATATATTAAAATTTTATCTGAATAGTTAAATATGTCTGTTTGGATAAAGATTTTGAATAAAAAGCACAATGAAAGTCAAAACAAACAATCAGGATCCAATAGAATTGATTTCAAATTTGGAGAGTTGACAAATAATAATAGCTGCCATGCCAAGGTTTACGAACCTCATTATCGACTCCATCGCCACAAAAATTCTGGAAAATTTTCTTTTAAGTTTCATCTAGAAGAAAGGAATTTTTTTTTTAAACCACAAATATTTTATTATCAGAGAACACCTAATCCAGTAGCTCAAGGCTTAGTCACAGTTAAGGTTCCTCACTTTTACAGGTGTATTTAGTAGGATATCAATTACGAAAACTCTTCCCACGTACTTAATCTATATTGCCAATTGAGTTACAATTCGTAGGTGAAGAGAGGAAATTTTAATGCAGGGAAAATTTGAATAATTTTAGAGGGCAAACTTTTTTATATAAAAATGTATCATTTAATTCAAATTACTTTCAAATTTCAATGATGAAAATAAGAAATATTACATACAAATGGATTGGTTTTATTTTTATTATCATTTGACAGTTGACACCTTTTTTTTTCAGAAAAATAAATATTCCTTTTATTGATATTATAGACATAATTATCCACCCAAGCACATAATTAATTATCCTCTACCAAACTTTATTATTATTATTATTATTGTAATTTATAGATTTTGAGACCCTGATATGTGTAGAATTCATGATTTATAAAATCAACGGATTTTATATTTTATTATTTGGTTGAAAAGTATAATTTATAAATTTAAAATATATTTTTAAAATATAAATAGTTTAAGTAAAATTATTAAAAAAAATCATGGAATTAAAGTGAGATTTCTCTCTTCCGTACCATGGAATTATGGTCTTTTTTTTTAAACCAAATAAAAGAATTTGTTAAATCTATGAATTGTAAATAATTGAAATTCTATTAATTCTATAAAAATTTTTAAATAAAATAGAAAAGGAGATATGTCTTATAAGAACGTTGTCGTATTACATTAAATTACAATTTGCATGATATGCAAATGAATTTTACCCTTCAATGTTTCTCAAATGAAATAATCATAAATGAAGTGCATTAAAAAAAAATCTCCCCAAAAATAAAGTATTTTTTTCACTTTTTTTTTTTAAAAAATAGCAAATAAATCTTCGCCGTAAACAACATTTTTTATTTGATACTAGTAATAAACAGCGACATCTTCCTTAAAAAAACATTTTATTTAAGATTATAAGGAATTTAATTTGCATACTGCTATTAATTTAGTTCTAATAAACAGTCATTAATCATTAATTTTAATATACCTAATTTATCATTTCTTTATCTTTTTTTTTTCTTTTTTAATTTTCTTTACATGAAGTGATTCTCCCTTTCCTTCTCCCTTCCTCGTATAACAGCAAGACTTTTTGGTTTCCTTTCCGCGTCTTTCAAAAGAGTCCTTCAAATTCAATTTTTTTAAATTAAAAACAAAAGAAAAAAGAAAACGTATCTTATTGTAAATTCTGCGTCAGCTTTTCGACAAACTCTTATTCCATAAGAAAAGTCTGTCAATTTCACTAATTTTTACTGGTCAACAGACTCAACACCGTTTCCTGCATAAACAGCTGATGCCTTTTTGAGCTCTCATTCTTTTTTATTGGATCTGGTCATAATCAAATACCACTTTGAGTACTCACGCTTCAGGATTTTCTGTCTCTGTTCATGAATTGGTCCTTTTTAAGTTTTTTTTTTTGAGCTCATTTATACCGAGTTGTTTGTAGATTTTGCTCTTTTTGTCACTTGATTCGATATTTTGATTCTTTTGGGAAAATAAATTCTGGGTTTTGTTTGGTTGATTGAGTTGTGATTCCAAGTTTTGCTTTTTGGGTACAAGTTGTATATCGAACTCAAATCGAAGTTTTTAAAGTTTAGAGCTTGGTTGGTAGCTATGGTGAAGCTATGCTATGGACAGGTGAGGTAAGTTGGCAAGATTTTGTTGGTAAAAAAAAGTGAAAATAGGATTGTGGCTCCTGCCTCTCCTCCGGCGTCGTTTCCTCCGCCGATTTGGCCAAGGAAGGGAGGTTGGAAATCTCTACCTTCACATTTAGCTGCTCCTTCCGATTCCGGAGTGTGAGACCCGCAGTTGATAGTAGCTCGTGGGGGCGAGTGAACAGTGCATACCTATCTAATACATTCAGTGTTTGTGTCTGAAATCATTTTGGGGTAAGTTGAACTTTCATCGGAATTCCACTTAAAATGCTAAACTTCTATACGCTAGGTTATTCGTATGAAAATTTGGACATGTTAGCTCATCGGTGTAGCATATAAGCTTCTAATGTATAAACGGGAGGAATATAGTTTAAGGTATTGATTATAATTTCCATTGTTACAGAGAGTATCTAAAAAGGAATGTAATAAGAAGAAAAGCCATATACTATGCCTGTAAATATGTAAGTAATAGGCTAAGTTTGTAGTTTTCTAATGGAGCGATGAACTGTTATAAAATCTTGATAATTTTTGAGACCAAATGCGGGTGAAACTTAAAAACCTCTAACCTTTTCTTGTACATTAGCAAGTATTTTGTTGAAATATATATGTCCACAAGTTTTGAACTAACAAGAATGTGATTTTTACAGGATTATTTCTACCATTCTACTGAGTTCATGCTCATCCCTCGCAAGAGAGATGGGTGTGACATTAGCTATGCCGATTAAAGATAAAATGATCCACATAAAGTCAAATTGCTTCATGTTTTTGGTGATTATGCTTTGTTCATCTATGGTGGGAAGTCTGGAAGACAGACAGATCACAGGGGAAGTATATTTGAGCCAGCTAGTCAATCTAGTGACTGGGGAGGTTGATGAGGGCGTGGTAAGATACTGAACAATACTCTTTACTGTTGTTAAACTTATTAAATTTTTAGATCAAATGAGGTTATTTGATTTTTAGCGGTTGAAATTCCTGTTTGCATGTTAGTTAGACTGCATACTGATTTATTTCTAGGCACATATTAGGCATATAGAATGGCTGCTTTAATATCCTAATTTTGCTAATTTTTAATTTTATATATCAATGTGCTGCGGAAATCTGGCTTCTTAGTTTCTTTGTCAATTTCTGAAGAATAGGTGTTAACAAACAGCAGGATTATACTCCGGCTAGATGGTATTCATGCATTGAATTATTTGTTCCTATTAGTTTGGAGGACATTCCTGTGATATCAAGAATTATTTAGTTAATAACTCGTTTCTCTTGGACATGCTTTGATTTATATGATTAAGTTTGGTCTATTCAGGCCATTATCTGTTATTAAATTCACTGAAATGATAATAATCCTAAAATTGGACATGTAAATGTGAGTTATTAACTGTATCTTCTACTTGGCTGTGGAAAATGCCAGTGAGCTTCCAAATGCTTTGAGAATTTGCTCTGAAAGATGCGCGATACATGTAGAGGTCTTAGAAATGAGGTTTGGCTTGTTGGCAACTCAAATTTCTGGTATTATGTGATTTTTATTTATCAAAATATATGGCTTTGTCATTATGATCTTAGCATGTTGCATTTGTCAGAATTAGAGCAAACCTTGCTTAATATTATGTTTGTTTATTCTTTTTTTTTTTATTGAGTTAGATACTTTTTAGATTTATTCCTCCTCCTTTTTTTTTTTTTTTTTTGGTTTTGTTTGTTTATTTCTTTTTTTTTATTGAGTTAGGGATACTTTTTAGAATTTATTCCTCCCCTTTTTTTTTTTTTTTTGGCGGTGGGAGGGTGGCAATAGGTTGAGAACTTGGGTGCGACTTTTTTTTTTTTTTTTTTTGGGTGGAGGGTGGCAATAGGTTGAGAACTGGGTTGCGATTTGCTTCCAGGATCTTATTCTTACCTGTAAAATAGTTGCTTCTAGCACCAGGAGTTGAAATTTAGAAATTGTTGAAAGCTAGTTCAGACATTAAAGCACAGTGGTATTTATTTTGACTAGTTGTTCAGTCGTTAGGCAATAATTTGATTGTAAGAATCATGTGGTTTTAGGACCATTATATCAAAACTGGAATTGTCATGCTCACAGTCACAGATGAATATGTTCATGATGAATACTTGTTTATATGCTTATAAATTAAGTCAATTGTGGAAACTGAATTTCTCATCTTTACCTGTCTGTTTATTATGCTTCTCTCTCTCTCTCTCCCTCTCTCCCTCCATTGTGCACGTGTGTGTGTGTATACACCTTAATGCTTCTTTGCTGTTAATTTATCTATCCTCTGTTTTGAGGCCCAACTAAATTCTTGTTTAATCTATAGTTATTTAAAGTCTAAAAGTTGACTTGAGATTTATTGACATTATTGGATGACAGGCAGAGCTATTATGGATCAGTTGCAGGCTAGATTTGCTTTGCTTGAAGAAAGCTGATAAAGATCTTGACTTCTGTTTTCCAGAGGAGACTTTTGGTATGGCTGGTGAATGTAATTCAGCGCGTAGGTCACTGGTGAAAAAAAACACTTGGAAAATAATTAAAGTCCAACATCCCAAATTAAAGCAAACACTTCTAGATTGCATGAAAAGGAATAATAATCTGTTACATGTTGGAAAAGGTGACTCTAATATTCAACATACCAGGTATCTTGATTCCTTTTTCCCTAAGGTTGCTGTTAAGAGAAGGAATTTGCTCCAGACAAATGCAGATTCACCAGCCCCTGTTGTTGGATCACCTTTTCCGAGCCCAGCGCCATCTCCTGATTCGGCACCTTCTCCAGTACCTACTGCCTCAGATCCTCCAATACCTTCTCCTTTAAGTCCTCCTGTTTCTGCTCCTGCAAGTCCTCCAGTTTCTACTCCTAAAAATTCTCTTCCATCTCCACAAACACCTTTTTTTCCTATTGGAGATGGATCACCACCTCCAGCTATAAAAGATGCATCTGCAGATCCTACTTCTGGTCCAAATGTTGAGGCAAATAGTAGTAAAAGTAACCATAAAGTAATTATTGTTGCAGTAGTGGTCACTGCTATATTGACATCTGCCATTGCAGGGTTGATCTGTTTTTGTTGTCCTAAGATTTTTAGAAAAGGTTCTGGCCTTGGACGTAATGATGAAAGTCGTCTTCTTAACCTGAGCTTAAGTGATTACTCTACTGGTACATATTCCTTCTAGTGTTCTTATTGCAACTAACTTATGTTTCATGCAGTTTTGATATTCTTTCAAAATTCGGTCTTTCAGGTTCTTATAAGTTCTTCGGTTTAGTAAATTCTGCTGAAGGAGAGAAGGTGGGCCACCAGTCATTCAATATGAACTCAAACTATGATAATCCATCTTTGCATAGTATCAAGTCTGATGTTCTTAGTACCCCAGCAGAAGAAAATACATCCTTTGGAGGTGTTGGTGCTACTGGAGTCTCTTCTGAATCGATTGACAAATCTAGCAATAGTATTGGACTTTTACCTCTTCCTCCTGGAAGGGCAAATATCATGCCTCCTTTGAAGCCTCCTCCCAGAAGGGCAACCCCTCTTCCTCCTGAACCACCTGCTGCTCTTAGACCTCTTCCCCCCATCAAGGCTGGTTCCACTCCCCCTCCCCCTCTCCCACCTCGTGCACCAACTCCTCCTGCAAAAGCTTCTGGTAGTGCAGATCTTCGCCCTCCTGTGCCACCTCCTCCTGGACCACCTCCTCCACGACCTGTAGCTCATGATGCCAAACTTGGTCCATCTCCACCACCCCCACCCCCAAAGACTAGTATGGCTCCCCGACCACCACCACCATTGCCTGGAGGTTCGAAGGTTCCTCATCCACCTTTTGGTTCAAAGCTTCCATCTAATTCAACATCAGGTGAAGGAGATGGTATGGAGGGTAATTCCAGTACTACTAAAGCTAAATTGAAGCCCTTTTTTTGGGATAAAGTCATGGCCAATCCCGATCATTCAATGGTTTGGCATCAGCTTAAAACAGGATCATTTCAGTACGTCACATAATTTTTTTTTTTTTTTGGTAATTTTTGTTGAGTTATTTATAAATTTCTAAAAATTCTAAGCTGCTTAAATTAATTGTACAGGTTCAATGAGGAGATGATAGAAACATTGTTCGGGTATGCACCTGCTGACAGAAAAGCTGATCGAAGAAAAGATTCATCTTCTGAAGATCCTTCATCCCAGAATATTCAAATCCTTGATACCAAAAAGGCACAAAATTTAGCAATTCTTTTGCGAGCTTTAAATGTAACAATAGAAGAAATCTCTGATGCACTTCATGAAGGTAATTTCCTTTGCACCCTTTTACAGTTTTTTCATTCTTGCAAGATATTTGATTTGAACAACACAAAAACACAAGTCTGCTGAAAGGAAATGGCTTTATGAAAATTGCTTCTAAGAATGCAGCTCCCTTTAAAGAGTTTCTGTAATGGCAACTTTTTATTTTTGACGCTGCATCTGGGAAACAAATTTTATGTCATATATATATATATATATATATACTCCCTTTAAAGAGTTCTGTATGGCATTTTATTTTTTGACGCTGCATCTGGGAAACAAATTTTATGTCATACTATATATATAATATTATATATTATATATATACACGGCAACATATATCTATATACACGCACACATATATCTTTTAAGGACCGTCATTATTTTTTGATAGGCATGGGTGTTATATAGTTCTGGGGGTGTAAATACATCTCCTTAGTTAGAGAATTTGCAATAAGGAGTTGTTGTGGTTTTAAACTTTTGATTCATTGAGGTAGTCTAACCTCTCTTAGTTAAAAATCAGGAAATGAGCTTCCGGTAGAGCTCCTTGAGATTTTGTTGAAGATGCCACCTACAGCAGGTGAAGAACTGAAGCTTAGGTTGTTCAACGGTGAAATTTCTCAACTTGGACCCGCTGAACGGTTCCTGAAAGTATTAGTTGATATTCCATTTGCGTATAAACGACTAGAAGCACTGCTTTTCATGTGTACTCTACAGGAAGATGTTAACACTACTAAGGAGTGCTTTGAAACTTTAGAGGTAAGGGATTGGAATGTTTTGTGCATCGCTCATATGATTTTTTTCTTATGGTTGCTGCTCATTTTGTGTCAGCATTTGATATTGACATTTTACAACTTTTAAAAGGTACAAATGACTATTTGACTGCATACTGGAAACACTCACATCTATGGTCCTGCACTGAACAGAAACTTGAACTTTTGCCTACAATCTATAGTGATGAAGCAGATACCCTAGATTTTTGGCACTAATTATAAAAATACATGAATTTTTGTGAACCAAAATATAATATGTTCAACCCCCCCATATGTTCAACCCCCCCCCCCCCCCCCCCAAAAAAAAAAAAAAAAAAAAAAAAAAAAAAAAAAAAAATTGATAGTCGTTTTCGATAACTGTGTGATGTTCGTCTCCCTTGCTACTTGGATTATGAAATGCATGCACAAATGAACAAGGATGTTTATCTGGTTGTGGTGAACCCCATTCTCCATATCTTTGGTCTTTGGACCAATAATAAAAAAAAGGTGCAGGACTGCAAGCTCTAATGATTCTTGTTCTTGAGGTTAAGTTTTTGAAATTGGTGAAACCTGGGAATGATGCTCATGCATATGCTTCTGTCTGCATGTAACCTTGCGCGTTTTACATAAAAATATTCATAAATTGAAGAACTGAACTTTTGCTGAAGCACAAAGATTCTCATGTTCCTTGTTTCAGATTTAACATAATTGTCTTTCATTTATGCATCCCATGTAATCTGATAGTAGTTTCTAGTCAATTTGTTGGACTTTTGTGCTTTATTAATTTGTAAAGAAAATGCTAATGCTCTCTCCTCATGGGACAGGTTGCTTGTAAGGAATTAAAAAGCAGTCGGTTGTTCCTCAAGCTTTTAGAAGCTGTTCTTAAAACTGGCAATCGTATGAATGATGGAACATTTCGTGGTGGTGCACAAGCATTCAAGCTTGACACACTATTGAAACTATCTGATGTGAAGGGAGTAGACGGTAAGACCACACTTTTGCACTTTGTTGTTCAGGAGATAAGCCGTTCAGAAGGAGTGAAAGCTGCTCGCACGGCAAGAGAGGGACATAAAAACTCCAATATCAGTGACACAAATGAAAATGTGTTTGAGGACATTCCCCTTGATACAGAAGATGACTATCGCAGCCTTGGTCTTCAGGTAGTTTCACGTTTGAGCAGCGAACTAGAAAATGTCAAGAAAGCAGCAGCTGTAGATGCTGATAGCATAACAGGAACTGTTGCTAAACTTGGCAATTCATTGTTAAGAGCCCAAGATTTACTGACCAAGGACTTGAAGAATTTAGAAGGAGAGAGTAAGTTCTATCAAGTATTGAAAAATTTTGTGCAAAACGCGGAGGTTGATGTCATGTCATTATTGTCAGAAGAGGAGAGAATTATGGCTCTAGTGAAGAGCACCGGTGATTACTTTCATGGTAAGGCAGGGAAGGATGAAGGGTTGCGTCTGTTTGTCATAGTGCGCGACTTCTTGATAATTTTAGATAAGGTGTGCAAACAGGTAGCAGAAGCACAAAAGATAACGGAGAAGACACCAAAAAAAGGCTCCTCCTCGCGCCAACAACTTTCGCCTGATTTTCGTACACAGTTATTTCCAGCAATTCAAGAACGGAAAATGGTAAATTCTAGTTCAGATGATGACAGTGAATAATTTTCATGTGTCAAGGTTATACTATTCATCAGCCATTATATACTTCTCACCAGGGATTTGGTTGAAGGTCTTAGTGGCCGAGCAGATATCTCAGCAGAGGACAGAAACACTTCCATTAGTTAGTAGTTAGATAGTGTACTGCTCATCATTGTTTTTGAAATTCTTTGTTTTAAATTGGAACAGTTAATTTAGTTAGTCATCTCTCAAGTTCTATTTAACATATTTTTTTCCTTAAGAATTTTTTTGTATAATTTATTTATATTTTAAAATGATAAAATAGCCATTAAAAGTTTGTCTGCATTGTTCTCATTTTCTTCTCTTTTTCGACGAGAAACATGTACAACATATAAGATAAAAAAGAACTAAGATTGAAACAATCTGTTAATGAATATTTTTATTTTATTAAAAAAGTCTAATAAGCTATATATCCTGAATTTTGCATAGTATCGAAATTTCATTCTATTATTAAAAGAAACCTGGAAACTAATAACAACATTTTTTTTTATTATTAAGCAAAATACTAAAACATAATAGATCTTATAAATATGAAACAGGTGATTAGAAATACCTATGCCTGAGGTTGAACAAAAAAAAAAATTATTCTATTCAAGTATTTTGACGAAATAGCCATCAATGGTATTAAGCAACACTAAACTTTCCACATAGGGCCCAATAAAAGTATATTCCGGTGTTCCCAAAACCTGTCGGCATTTAACGTGCCGATTCTGGAGATCAACTGCTATAAGATCCCCATCAAGACTCTCTGCTATCAACTCTTCACCTTTCTTGCTAATCCACAATGGCCTTGCTGTGTGCAGGGACTTTAAATCGTTACCGGTTACAAAAATCTTGGTCCATTAATTTCCCACACCATACTCTTTCATTATCCATAGACAAGGGTTAACAATGGAAGGATTTCTGTAATACAAACCAATAGTTGAATCTTTATATACCACTGGACGAACCAAATGGAAAAAGTTTGAGCTGGACAAACCAATAGTTGAATCCTAAATTCTTCCGGCAATATAGTCTCATGAAGCACTTCATTACTCATATCCAACCCTAACAAAACATAGTTTAACAAAGAATCCCCATCTCTACGAGCAATCCAATGAACAACTCCATTAACAAAAGCTTGTGAACTAGAAGCAATAGTCATATATTTATGACATATTGGACCAGACAGAGTCTTCCATGAACTAGACTTGAGTGAGAAAATCTCCAGTTGAGCTCCGGAGTTTAAACCCTTTGGGTCATTAGGAGGAACCATTCTCACTAACTTGTAGTCATCATTGCGGGAATCATAGCCAAACCCAACAAAGGCATGGCCCATGGAAGTGAGGTTAGGCCTAGGAACGGTAATAGATTTTTGAATGGATGGGTTCCAGAGCAGATAATAGTAGGGTACATAATCGTGGTCGCCGATAAGGCAAACTATGCCATTGATAGAGTCAGCAACACGAAAGGATTTCTCGTGACCCTTGAAAGGTAAATCAATAACCTTGTGGACAGTGAACTCTTGGTTGTCATGATAGATATAGTAGCATGCTTTAGTACCCTGCTCACATTCGTAGCGGCGGTCACTGTAGTGGAGACGGCAAAGGAAGAAGCCGTGGTGGTAAGCTTAAGGTGGGTGGAAATAAAGGTAGGATCTTTAATGAGAGAGTTCCAGTACTTGCATACAGTAGTACAACGAACGAGAGTGTTAATTGACATTTTGTGGAATATTTCAATCATCAGTTCACCAGGTAAAAAACAACAGATATGTTCTTCATTCTCTTTTCTTCTTCTTCAACTTCCTGAAAAAAATTGAAATACACGTAGATTATTTTGTTGAATGGAAATGAAAATCATCATCATCTACAGGACAGAATGAACAATAGAGAACAGAGAACAACAGCTAGCAACAGAAATAAACAAGAGAATGAAAAAAAAAATCAGCTTTATAAAGGAGAAAACTGAAGAAACACCCTTAAACTGCAAATTCAAAACACCCAGAAGACTATATAATAAAACAGAAATAATAGAAGCAAAAAATTGACCAACAAAATCAAGTGAGAAAGCAAAAAGAAAAAAAAAAAAAAAGACTGAAAGACATACCCAAAATCAAGCTAGAAAATTAGAATTTCAGAATTGAAAGCAAGTGATCAAAATAACTTTACTCAGATATCAATTATTTGATAAGATGGAGTAAAATTATGAATTTCTTCAATTTCAATTTCTCTAAAATACTACTCCAAACCAATGGTGAATATCATCTTGATCTTGTGGTAAGCAATGGTGCTATATATGATATTAAAGATTAAAATATGTAAATTTATCAGGAATCATGTGTTGATATCAGGAATTTTATATCTGTTAAAGGTCAGGGAGATTGTTAAGTGGTTGATGGAGAAATGAATCATTAAATTCAAGTTTGAAAGGTACGTAAAATAAAAGAAGCTCTTTGGATGATAGATAAATTCTTCTAATGATCGATAAAAACAAAAGTAGAAAGGAAAAAACAAAAAAAGACAACCTAACAGAGTTAACTCATATCAATAAATAGAAACAACAACCAACAAAAATAAAACAGAAACGTAGAAAAAAATATACCTTCTAATTGGAGAAAGCTTATATGATCTGCTTCGTTCTCTGTAAGCAGAATTTTTTTATTCTTCTTTTGTTCTCAATAGGCAAACAAATCCGCAAACAAAATAATAAGGAATAACTTTTCAAAAAAAAAAAAAATATTAAGAGATATGTTAGAAAAATATTATGAGTTCCATTAACTATCAGCTGCTTGATTAGAACCCTTGTTAAACACCTTTAATTTCAGAATTGAGTCCCAATAATTTATATTATTAATAATAGCGTTAAAGAATCAATTTTTAATCAACAAAATGGAGAGTATACCAGTTTGTAATTAACCGACATTTAGAATTAATATTAATAATGTTTATTTATGTTATTGTATAATGCTCCACTATGGCTACAAAATATAGGTTGTGATAATATGTTGGCAATTAAAAAAAAAAAAACTTATTCCAAATAACCTTTACAAATGACGTGTCAAAAATAAAGCAAAAAGAAAATATATTAGTAGCATTTATTATCATCGTGCATAGATTTTAAATACTTAAAAAAAAGTAAAGAAATATAAATAGAAACTCAATTGTTTATCCACATATACTGCATTCTATATATTTGGAAACTGTCTTTATTATAAAATTGAAATTATAGTACTATATGATATTTATTTAGTAAAATAAAAAACTCAAATATTTAAAAGAGACCTTCCTGTGACTGAGATCATTGACAACAAAGCATGATGAGAAGTGCAAGAAAGGAAGAGCCAACGATTTTTGGTTTCCCTTCCAAATCACATGCACATTTGCAGTAATCATCAACCTTATGTATAAACGTCCAATTGCAAAGCTTTTATAACTTTCTGCAATGAAATTAACCCAATTTCCAACGAGTAAAAAAATAACCTACTAATCATCAACAAACATTATCTTACATTCTAGCAATCATCAATATAAGTAGAAAACTGGTATCATCAGTTTAATTCGCCAAACATCTTTTCAAGATTCAAAACACACTCTCCATAAACGTTTTTTCATTCATTTATCAAATCTCTGATCATATATAAGCTTCCAAGACAATTATTATGCCTTTATTAATCATGCAAAGCAAGTAAAAAAAATCTATATTTCATGCACCATTTGTCATAGCACAGCCCTTTTCCTGTTAAAAGTTCCCTTCCCAATTTAGAGTGCGCAATCTGAAAAATAATCCAAGAAAACACAAGCCAAAGCAAAACAATCAATAGAGTATTAAGTGATACTCAAATCTTGCATCCATTATCATTATGGAAAAAAAAATCTTTCCACAAATCATTCCTATTTAAGCAACTACAAGATAATCGATTATATTCACAATCGCCTAACTTAAAAACCTAACTCTCTAACAGAAACTACTTCACAAGCATAAAAAGAACCAAACTCCTAACATAAAAATCTACTGAACAAACATAGTGGTATCACATTAACGCAAAGACTTTCTAAGAATATTTCCTTTTGAACCCTTTCTTGTTGAATTTAAGAATCATCATCAGCAGAGGCCTTCGAGCCTGAGGTACCAGTCTTCTTTGGCAGAAGAAGGTTGTGGATATTTGGCATCACACCTCCATTAGCAATAGTAACATCACCAAGAAGCTTGCTTAGTTCCTCGTCATTCCTCACTGCTAATTGGATGTGTCGTGGAACAATTCGAGTCTTCTTGTTGTCACGGGCTGCATTTCCAGCTAATTCAAGTACCTGAGATGACAAAATAAAAGACATCAAAAAACAGATCCAGAAACATAGATTTTACAACTCGGAAGATAGATAACACATCCAATTGCATGAATGGAAGGGCATAAATTTTTGCAATTGATGAATTGATAAAACATAATTAAGATTCCAACTTAAGGATTCAAAAAAAATTGTACAATTGAAAAGACCAATAAGTATTTTCAAAAATTTTAACATCGCCAATAATGAAAGAAAAGTTCATAAAATACAAAACCATAGGCAATTAATAAAAAGATCCGAAACCCTAATTCAAAGATTCGAAATTGAAATTATAATTATGAAATAACTTTTAAATCCAACAATTGACAATAATCAAATCCAAAAGAAAAAATCCCCTAACATACGCCAGAAACCAAATTAAACATATCAAAAAAATACAGCTTTTTAAACGGTGGTAGAAATCCCGTATAAACAAATAAAATTGAGAAGAAATTAACAACCCTAAATTGATATATGGACACAAATAACAAAAGAAAGAAAAATTTTCAGGGATCGAAAAATTAAAATACCTCAGCGGCAAGATACTCGAGAACGGCCGCAAGATAGACAGGGGCGCCGGCACCAACACGTTCGGCATACTTGCCGGCCTTCAAGAACCTAGCGATACGACCGACCGGGAACTGCAAACCGGCCTTGCTACTCCTCGATGTGGCCTTCTTCGCGGCGCCAGATCCTAGGGTTTTGCCTCTACCCGCCATTTAAGCAAATACTATAAGATGAGAGGGACGGAATCCAAAGAGCAATAAAGCTTTGGCGTATAGAGAGACAGAGAAGCCGTTAATAGAATTTATGAAACAAATAAGAGAGAGTGGGGTTATATAGGGGAGGAAGATTCGCGATTAGACCAATAGAAACGATGTACTCGGATCGAAAGTATAAGCCGTTAGATTAAAGTTAGATAAACGGTGAGGATACGCTCGCCGAATGGTTTAGTTTGGATCAAGCTACCTGGGACTGGGAGGCCTGAGAAAGCTTTAGGTAGCGGAGTTTTTAGGAATTTTAAAATTTGACGCGGTTGTTTTTGTTTTTTTAAGGAAGTATGGGTCCAGTCGTCGAACTACACGTCACAACGACAACAACTCAACTCTGAAACAAATTTCTGCAGGCCAAACATAAATTGAGGTCCACAGTTAAAATTTTAACGGAGTTAGTTTATCGCTTGACATGTATGAACTCTACTAAACCACCCATAATTATTTGCCATATCCATCATTTTTATCAAATTTCAAGATCGTTTTGTTCGTTTTATTAAAATTATAGAATATTAATTAATTTTTATTTAATATAATAATTATTGCCTATAATATCAAAATTTATCTTATTATTTTCATTAAAGGATTGATAGAAGGGGAAGCTCCTCCATAGTCCATCCAAACACATTCATACATTGAAATGTGAATAGAATATTTATCTAGAGCATGAGCAACAACAATCGAATTGTCTCCTTACATGATTATATGAAAATTTTTGGCACCGCCTAATGAGTGAGTCTCGAGCTAGCTAAGCGAGTCTCATACTCATTATCGAGAAATGATAGAGTTTTGATGTACTGAGTCATGACTAACGAATCAAACTTTAGTATTAATTAGAAATGTCCGTCTCCAGTTTCATAAAAACTCCAAAATTTGTAGCTTCAATCTCTGCATGATCTGTTTTGGTAGGATTGTTATAACTCTTAGAATGAGCTCTCATAATTTTAACTCGTTCCTTCCTAACTACAAACCTCAACCTGCATCCTTTATTCGTAAAAATTGCAGCACCAATGTTAAGCTAATACCATCCACCAAGAGGTGGAATCCATCACTGATGAACAGAAACTGATCCTTCTGACGCTACCATCAGCATCGATATAGCGAACAAAGGTCGAAACTCAAATAATAAACTCGTGCCTTGATGAATAAATTTATATCTATCGTAACTCTACTTTGAAACTTGTAGAGAGTTCCTTGCTTTTTATATGGTCCAAGCTATCATAGCAAACATTTCCAACTATATTACCTCAAAATCTGCAGATAGCAAACTCAACCAACCAAAAAAAAAAAAAAAAAAAACTTAGTAGAGAAGACATTTTCTTGCTTTTTATATGGTCCAAGCTATCATAGCAACATTTCAACTATTATTACTCAATCTGCAGATAGCAAACTCAACCTCAACCAAAAAAAAAAAAAAAAAAAAGAATTTGCACTAAAAAAAAAAAAAAAAAAAAAAGAATTTGCACTAAACATGTCAGCATCAAGTGGAAGAGGACATAGTATCCAAACTCTCTTCGCTGAACAAGCTTTAAGAGCGTGGATAACATTTTCAACATCTTCACTGCATACACTACATGTAATGTTCAGATATCCATTCCTCAGTTAGTTAGAGATCTTAACACAGAAAATTAGTTTGTAAAAGCTCGAAAAACAAAAAGTGTTTAACTTTGGGGAATGATTAATGGTGCATACACTAATATAATTTCAAATTGTATAAGAACTAAAGAAGTATCAAACAACTTTAATTCTAAAAAAAAAACATTGCAATTAAGAAAAATAGTTGCATTTAATTACATTATCCTTTTATAGTTCTCTGAGTGTTATGGTTGCTGCATTTACAATTAATGAATTCATATATATTTATGATCTTATTTGCAAATTCATAGATTGAATCTAGGGATCACATTTTAAAGAAGCAGTCTTGCTATTTTATAATGGATTATGACCATTTATATCCATAAAATATATTTTCTTTCTCTCTTCGTTTCTTTTTCCTCGTTTTAGAAGATGGCTATTTTTAGAATCATTGGCATATATTAAATTTAGGGGTGTTCAAGATCAACCTGATCAAAATCTTTTTAGAATCATTTCATTTGTTATCTTATATTTGAATTAGATCTTGTTCTGAAATAAGTTTTCATGTAATGTTTAGTGTTTTAACTTGATTAAAATCACCATTTATCAGTAATATAGCATTTCTACTAATTTTTATAATTTGAAAATTTTGATTATAAAATGCTAATAAATAACTGAGCTAAAACACTTAATTTTGCCGATCAAGGTCTTAATCTAAATCAGCTACTATTTATTAACTACTTTATAGTAAAATAGGATTTTGGACAAAGTTCTGCAGTTTGGATTTTAAACAGCCCTAAATTGAAATATATGAAAATGATAAATGGGTTAATTGTTATGTAATGTTGGGCTTTGGGTCCAACTGGGGATGAAGGAAGGCTGGGCCTTGTCAGTGTGCAATGGACAATGAGTTCTCTTTGTTTGTGTTTGTGGAATTTATTATATTGCAAACATTTTGCTTTTTTTAGTTTTGTTAGAAAAAAATATATATATATATTTATTGTTTATATTAACAATTGTTTTTACTAATTTTTGTGTAGTGATTTACTTTATATTTGAACAATTATAAACCTCAACAACCATGGTTCGCTTCAAGATTTGAATTTTATATACTAATTAATTCAAGATAAACTGAATGGTAGATACATTAGGAATGGAATCCATGTCGATTTAATTTGTTCTTCCATTTCCAAAGCTAATAGTTGCAGAAATACAGAGAAGAAAGCAGAATAAACCATGTACAAAGCAAAATATTCCACCAATGAAAAGAAGATGACTATGCAAGGCTGTGCAGGACTCTCTTGATTTGGAAATTTCTAATGTTCCTGTAACAAGCATAGGAAATGCAATGGCAGCCACAATCCTGCAATTGGAAAAACAACTTGAAACTTCAATTTTGTTTAATTAAGAATCAACATGGCTTATATATATATATAATAATTAGATGTACCATGCAAAAACAAGACATGCAAACCATTGTCGCCTGTTAATGTTGGGCAATCTTTCGAGCTCTTCCATGCAACAAATGCACATGAAACCTCCATGCAAGTTAGCTGTAAGGTGAGCTACTGCTAAAAGTGCAGCTGCAGCTACTCCAAACCTCAATCCATCACCGCTTTCTCTACACCTAAAATTCTTCCTGTTTGTGTGTATGATCATCTGTTCAAGATTTTTATTAGAACTAGGTAGCTGAGATGATTAATTTGATATTACTGTTTCAGCAGATACTGACAAAATTATAATCAATAAGTTTTAATGCAATTCAGACCTAATAGCTCTCAAGTTCGAACCGTAATTAGATCTAAAAAATTACCCAAATGGTGATTTTGTTACAATAATTTCAATTCTAATACCAAATAATGTGTTTATAGTAAATATAGCAATTGAAAGGCATCTAACTATTATTTCAGATTTTGCGAATTTACAGTTTTGAAAATGGCTCTATCGTGTCATTAAGTTAAAACATTTTGCTTAATATTAATTTTAATTTTGATCTCACTATGTAGTTACAAATCACAAATGAAACACTTCTGCAAATGGAATGAACAGCTTCAACATTAATTACCTTATTTCGAGCAATCTCAGCCTCAATGCCAAGAATTCCAGCAACAACATCCATACCCACAACCATTACACAAACAAAAGCTTCAATTCTTGCCATACCCTTTATCTTTTCAAGCAAAAGAAAGAAATGATTTGGCTTACTATTTAGAAAGAAGAGGAAGAAGGTGAAAAAAAATTAGAGAAGTAAAGCAATAACTTAGTTATTAGAGAATTGAGGAGGAAAGAGAGCAATTTGTAAATTCGTAATGAAAGCTAGAACAGAATCATTCATGGCCGTTTTGGATCCATAAAAGATTTTAATGCGACAAAGAAAGCCATCTTCTTTTGTCAACAAGTTCTTTTGAACTTGCACTTTTCTTTCTTGTTATGATTCATTTTCTCCCTATGCATGCTTAGATTCCCATTTCAGACTAACTTTCTGTCCTTCCCAACCAATACGTACTCTACGCACGTTGCGTCTGCCAAATTATAAGCTGTTAGTCTGGCAATTAATTAACCATAAAGCTGAACCGGAGACAGGGTCACATGGCCGTTCCTGCTCTTAAAAGTTGAGAGTTGAAACCAAGTAGCATGAACCAGCCCAGAAATGACTGGTTTGGGGCCCATTTAGTTCTGCTAAAAAATAAAAAACAAATGATTCCAAGATAATTCTAGTATTAGGCATGAAAAAATCAATGGAAATCTTAAAAAAAATGTAACCAGTCTAATTTATTTCAATTCTATAATTATATATTCAATTTATTTAATAATATAAAAATAGAATAAAATATTATTTAGTTCTTGAAATTTGACCTAATTCACTACTTCATTCCGCTAGTTTTATCAACCTAACAAGTAGTCTTCCACATTTAATCTCATCAAACTATTTGGTTCTTCCGTCTTTTTTTTTTTTTTTTTTTTTTTGACATTATTGTACTGGACCAACGGAAGCCTATTTCTCTCTTTCTGTTTGTCAACATATATTTTTATATTTGAACTTATTGCATCCTTATTTCTTTCCTTATGTTACTTTTGACATTCTATTTTTTTCTTTCGCGCCTCACATTGCTTATGGGTGCTTCAAAGATCTCCCAATTTCTATTGACTGTAACTTTCACTGCGTTCTTCTCCTCCCAACCAGACTAGCTACTCTTCACGCACGTTGTCGTTCTGCCAAATTATATCTTCGCTTTTGTTAGTTCTGGGCTGAACACTTTTGCACAAATTAATTTAACCATAAAGTGAACATTCCGCCGACGGACAGACGAGATGGTCGGGACATACAGGCCGTTTCCTCCAGCCTTTCTTTACAAAAGTTGATGAGTTTTTTGCAATACACAAACGTAGAGCATGTGAACCCTAAGCCCATTGATAAATGACTGGCTTTGGGGCCCATTTTAGTGGTCTTCATTGTTCTTCAAAATCAAAAATAAAAATACAAAATGGATTCCAAGATAATAATCCTTCTATTGTTAATGGTATTGATCATAGAAAAAATCAAATGGGATAAAATTCTCCGGTTTATAACAACAAACCAATTTGGGGGTTTAAACACCGAGTCTACAATTCTAAATTGGTTTCACCATTCTCATGGAATTATTTTATTCTTCACTATTTTCAAATTTATTTTAAATATCATAGTACTAAAATATTGACATAATTATCAACTTTATTGTTCTAGTTTTGCCTTTGTAGATCATTTTGACCTCCATATTCCACCCTACTTTAGTTCCATTTGCCGTCGCTATGATCCTTATCAACCTAAACAAGTAGACTTCTTCTTCCACTTTATATTTACTCTCTACATCAAAACCTATTTGGTTCTTCGTCTTTTTTTTTTTCTTCTCTTTTTTTTTTTTTTGTATTAATCCATGAACTCACTAGAATTCAATTTTGGAAATTGGAGAGATTGGCCTAAGCTAGTGTTTTTCCGAAGACAAATCATAAGACAGATTATTCATCCTGCCTATTTATCCTTATGATGTGGTAATTCTTGGTGATTTTAATTCTTGTACCCCCCACAATCATTTGTGGCGTTGAGACAAGAAAGGATGCCGTCTGTATTTTGCGGTCTGCCCAATACACTCGCAACTAACAGTGCACAGGCCTCTCGGTGTCTCCTACGCTACCAACCGGAGTTATTGCGCCTTAGATAAGCCTTCTTACACCTTTACGGACGTCCCAGATCTCACTTAGCCTGCCACCCACACCCACACCCAGCTACATTGCCAAGTTGTAATGCCCTCTTTCTTTGTCCATTTTTCAGTACACCTCTAGATACGTTCCTTTAGTCTTCGGTTTTTTTTTTTTTTTTTTTTTTTAACCATGAATCAATTCATTTTTGCATTGAGAGATTGGTGCTGTGTTTAGAAACATGAAGATATTCATTGCCTTATGCATGATGTGTATTTTGGTGATTTTAATTTTGAAAATCATTATGCTGAGAAAGATGGTTGATTTTGGTGTTGCCCAATACATGCAGTAAAGTGAGGTTGGTGTTGTAGGAGTTATGGCTTATGTCCAACTAATTTATGCACCCACACCCACACCCACCTACATTGCAAGTTGTAATGACCTCTTTCTTGTCCATTTTCAGTACATATCTTCCTTAGTGGCATGATCTTTGAGGGCTTTCACATCCAAAAATGTCTTGCTTCAAATATGGTATAATCCATCTTTTGGCACATATAGATTGTCATAGATTCTTCTAAGAGGATATGTCTTTTATCTCTTTCTACAACCAATTCTAATCTAGTCATTATTTTCATCACTTGACTCCTTTTTTGCACTTATATTAGAACCACCATCAAACAAAACATCATCACCATTGTTGTCAGATTGAATATTTTCATCTACATTTCTTGGCGTTGTTCTCATTTTCAACATCATCTTCACCATCATTTTCAGAGCTACTGAACTCATACTTAGCATCATTGTTTTTCCGTCTTACTTAGGGGTGGCCAAAATCCAGTGGGAAGTGAAAGCGTCCGAATCGGAATCAGAACCGGTTCCACCAGTTTTGGAACCATGAACCGGCGGTTCCAATTTCAGTCGGAACCGATGGTTCTTGTTCCGTTTGAAACCGGTCGGAACCGTTCAAAATCAGCCAGAACCAGTACGAAATCGACCGGAATCATCGAAAAATCGGCTAAATAACCGGCCAAAACCGTCGATTTTGGAACCATTGAGAAACCGAAACTGGAATCGTTCGGTTCCAAACCGTAACTGAACCGTTAATTTTCGGTTCGATTCTGATTCCAAAAAATTTGGAACAAAAACCGGTGATTCCGAAACCGTAGCCACCCCTAGTCTTACTACCCTCTTCCTCTAGCCACCCCAAATCTTCTTTTGCCGCCACCATTAGTTGCACTATCCTATTTACATGATTAGAACCTAAAATACTAATCCAATTAAAAGCCCCAATAGTAAATTTTCTCCTCTAAATTAGTTGCATTTATACCTATTATGTCCCTATTATCTCTGACTTCATTATAACCATTTCTTTCCCTTTTTTCTTTAACACCATCAACACCTGCAATTGGAGTGTCGTTATTTTGCCTACTATCTCGACCTTAATTATCCATATTATCCTTGATTGGTGCACATCCATCACCAACATTATTAGCTTCATAATTATAGCCCCTAATACCAAGGGCGGACGCCGGCCCTGGCCAAGGGGGTTGTGCGCTCCTCTCCCTCCCCCAAAAAAAAACAAAATCAATTTTTTGTGTAAAAATTTTTTTAAAAATTATATTTTAGTTTTGTCACCCCTAAGTAAAAAATTATTTTTGGGTCTCCTAACTATTTAGGCTAAATTCGCTACTATAAATACCTGTGACCGACCATAAACGATATTACCGAGAGCATCTTCAAATATTAGAACACTATCATTAGAATTCTCTACAAATTGACAACCCAAATGTGCAGGATTCTCAACAGCAATTGCTATATTCCTGGTTATAACACGAATAGGTACAGCGACAATTTCTTTAAACATTTCAAACATAAAAAGCATATCATCATCATTTTTCAACTTAATACTTGCTCCAAACACATACTCAATAAGATCAACATATAGTGTAAATGACCTATAAGCATCGTTCGTCAAATCTAGATATGAGTACTTATCATATCTAGATTCATGTTATTAACAAATCCCTCTTCATCTCCATGTTTGAGCTCCAAAGTGTAATGTCAGCAAACAGCAATTTGTGCAAAATAGGTGCAAGCTGAGGGAAAACTCTTATCACCACTTTTAACACAATACTCGGTAAATGGAAAGCAAGCTTCGAATCGAGGAAGAGCAATTTACTAAAAAAAGGCAATCTTGCTTTGTAATGTATATGCGTCTTTTACAATTTTCTTTTCTCATTTTTCTTTAAAGAGGCATTTAGATCTTTACATGTCATCGTAACTATAAAAAAAGAAAAAGAAAAAGAAAAAAAAAAAAGATGAGAAGACGAAGTAGTTTGACGAGATCAAACGTCAGAGATTATTTATTAAGTTTGCTTAACTATAAAAATAAAGTAATAAATTAGGTTAAACTTTAAGGACTAATAGTTATTTACCCTCAAATATATTAAAAAATTATTAGAAAATATTTAATCATTAACTTCTAAATTGAATTGCATGCAAGGAGTGACTCGAGTAGAATATATTTACTAAAGGGGCTCAGTTGTATGAAAGCAAAAAAAAAAAAAAAATTGAAAAACTATAACTTCTAATTGCATTGCCACATGCAAAGGATTGACTCGAGTAGAAACCTATGTACCTAAAAGGGGCTAATTGTACACTTGAAGCAAAATAAAAAAAAAAATGAAAAAATTGTGGGTCTGACTACATATTTTATTCTATATAGATACTCAATGACCTTCTCACACCTAACAGTGTTTTTAAATTTTTTCACACACAAAAAAAGTTTTAATTTTTGAGTAATTGATTAATAAATATAATAAATTACATAGATTTGAAACAAAGATTAAGGTAGTAGTACCAATTAAGCTGGTGTTAGTAAAAGATGAATTATGAAGGGGTATTTGAATGATGAAGTAAGGAATATAAATAAATGGATTAATTACTAAATATGAAAATGCATATTTCACAGAAGGCTGGTTTGGATTAGCAACGGAATCTGGGATCCCGCAGTCTCCACGCGAACTGAAATCTGGCTAGATCAATCATCGGTATCTGAGACTGCCAGAGCCTCCCGCGACCCCTTAAGAGCTCCGCAAGATAAGCTGGGCCTAAAAATTACAAAAATTAGAACTTTTTATCGGAGCATATGTGGTTCGCATTCCTAATGGCCCAATGACGAAATCCCTATCTTCAGAGAATATTACATTCTATTTATAAATCACTCTTCACGTGACTAGTGCAGGCTCGTTGATTATGGGTCTTGAGTTATGTTAATAACTCATGCTCTTAATCTTGTTTAATTTTATGTAAGACATAAAGTATATCAAT